CCCCTTGGAGGGTTGGTTTCGAGACTCTTCATGGTTGGGGACTCTGTGGTGGTGTACCACCAACCTGGACCTCGGCTCTTGGGGTATGTAGAGGCTGGGAACCATCTCCCTCTCGAACTCTTCTTGCTAAGTTTGTACTCGTAAGACTATAGTGGCTGCTATACCTCTTGCCAGTCAAACGGCCATAGCGTCGTCAAATCTTCATGGAATTTCATGATTCAACTTGCTGCTGATAGACGACAGCAACACGCTTCAGATCCAACTTACAGATTACCGTTTGATTCAGTGACCAGATCGTTATCAATATTTGAAGCCGTCTGACAGAAATCCGACTGTGCTCTCTATCTCTCATTATAGGCACATCTAAGCCTATTGTGATTATAACAGGACCCTGCCCCCATCCATGGTCTTAGCTAGAAGCGCTATCTCCTAGTCATCATTCATGACTTCTTGCACTTCAATACGGTGTTTCCGCTGGAGCGAAAGGCCGACGTGCATACCGTTCTCCTCCTATGGTTGCTAGCTGCTTGTACCCATCACCGCCTCCCAGTAGTTTGGTTACACTCTGACCGTGATAGCGAGTTTGCCTCTAGACGTCTAGGACAGTTCTGTAGTGCGGAGGGCATCCGCCAGACTTACACACTGCTAGACTCTTCACAACAGAATGGGATCGCTGAACGACGCATCTACCTGGTCATGGAGGTAGCTCGCACCTCCTTGGTCCACACCGGTGCACCCCATTTTCTGTGGCCGTTCAATGTGCAATACGCAACTATCCAGCCTAACTTATGGACGCGCTCCTTGCGACACAGATTTTGCCGACCCTTCTCTGGACTGGGTCTCCTGGTGATGCTTCTGCGTTCCACGTTTGGGGCGGACAAGCTGTTAACCCGCACTCTTTCTTGTGTCTTCCTGGGGTAACCACTTGATGCTCCGGATTGGTTGTTTTACTACCTGGTCCACCACCGGCTCTTCTCTCACCGATGTACCTTACCAATGCCCCACCTTGTGTCTCGTACGCCACTCCGTTCCCCTCGGTCGGGCCTGTGGGGGAGTTTGCTGACTCTGGGGGCCCAGTTGCTGCGGATGTGCATGCTGTCCCTGCGGCGCCTCCCCCAGCCGCGGTACCCCTGGCACCTTGAGCAGCCCCTCCTCTTGCCTTAGCAGCAGCAGCAGCAGCCACCGCAGCAGACTCCGCGGACGCAGCAGCAGCAGCGAGCAGTGGGCTCTGGGGGTGCTGGTTCGATGGGCGGTGCGTACCAGAGTGCTGGTCCTAAGGGTGCTGTTTCAGAGAGTTTCGATAGTAGCTGAGGTTGAGTTGGAGGTCCTGACGAGGGCAGGGAGTAGCAGCAGTAGCACCAGCAGCAGCAACCGCACTAGCCACGGTCTGCCTTTTGTCTCCTTGATCTTCCCTCAGGCTCCCATGTTTACGGCCTGTTGTTCCATCCCCCGGACTCCTCTCCGGCTCGTTTTCCCCCACGCTTTCCTTCGTCCCCTATCTTGTCTCCCTTTCCCTCTCGTCCCCAAACCCCCGTTCTTCCTCAGTGAGTCCGTCGTCACCCTGATGGGCGTCTTGTTTCTCCCCATGCTAGTGTTCACCCTACGGTCCTTTGTTCTCGCCCTCCTCCCATTTTAATCATTTTGCTAACCCCCTAGTCGTCTCTCCTGTCTTTCTCTGCTCCTCCCACTAACTCTTCTCGCAATGCTCGTCGAGTTCTCTCGCGCTTGCTTGCGTCGCTAGTCACTGACCCTACCGCTCCTCATGAGTCTGTCTCTGCGCTTTTCGCTGCTGTCGCTGATTTCGCTATTAGCCATTGCCTTGACTACGCTGCCGCTCTAGTCTCTGATAATGTCAGACCTCCATCCGTCGGGGGTGCACCTGCCCTGGGCAGTGATGTGCTAGAGGACAGGCAGTACGAGCTGGCCTACCTTGCTGCCGCTGTTCCCCATCGCTGCTCCATGCTTGTATCCCAAAAGGGCAACCCAAACGCCCCTGACATCCCTATCCCACGCTCTTACACTAAGGCGGTGTCGGGGCCCTGGCAGCCTAGTGGATACAAGCCATGGAGGCTGAGATGGCATCCTGCATATCCACAGGCACGCACGTCAACCCAGTTCCCCCGCCTGGGGCGGACGTAGTCAATGGCATGTGGATCTATAAGGTGAAGTGCGCACATAGAGAGCCGCTGAAGTTCAAGGCGCGCTATGTGGCTAGAGGCTTCACTCAGAGAGAGGGTAGGACTTCTTCTATACCTTTTCCCCCACCTCGAATATGACTACTCCTCAGTTGCTCGTTCACCTTGCCGCGCAGAGTGATTACGAGCTTCACGTACTCGACTTCTCCACAGCCTTCCTACAGGGCAGTCTGCACGAACAGATCTACCTCCGGCGCCCACTAGGCTTCTCTAGGTCCTTCTCATATGAGACCCAGTGGAGCCTGCGCCGCCCGGTCTACGGCCTGCGTCTGGCGCCCCGTGCGTGGCAGGACACGCTTCCACCACACTTGCTGAGCTGCAGTTCTTTCTGTTCTTTGCTGACATCTCTTTCTCTTTGTTCCCACTAGTCAGACCCCGTTCTACATTCTAGTGTACGTAGACGATCTTATCTTTGCTACTCATGACAGAGACGCACTTGACACAGTGATATGGGAGAGCTGAGGCGCTATCTGGGCTTGGAGACGTCACGTGACCGTGCCGCTCGCATGATCACACTCTCCCATTCCCATATGATACAGCAGGTCCTCCAAAGGTTCAAACTTCAGTTCTCTCCAGTACAACACATCCCCCTATTTGTGGATCACAAGCTCTCTGCTTTTGTTCCATACGCAGAGCTTGTGAGGTGTCTCATGTACCAGATGACCTTCACTTGACCAGATTCAGCGTACCCTCTCAGCCTCCTTACTCATTTTTTTGCGACAGGCAGGCATCGACTAGTCCACTAATCGGCTGCCAAAAGATACATGTGGTATCTGGCGAGTACATCAGAACTGGGGGCTTGTACTAAAAGGACGGTAGACAATGGTGCTGACTGGACACACTGACGCATCGTGGGCTGGCAACTTGGAGACGCCCAAATTCTCACAGGGCTATTGTTTTAATCTTGGTGCTGGTGCAGTCTCATGGAGGTCCATTATGTCTTCGTCTATAGCTCAGTCTAGTTGTGAGAAAGATATCTACGTTGGGGCCATGGCCGCTCAGGAGTTTCGCTTCTGCCGTTCTTGCTTACTGACTTAATTGAGCAGCCTAGGTCTGCCCGGGTCCTATTTGCTGATAACAGGGCCCTGATCGTCCTGTGTCATGAAGCTCGACTTGAGGGTAGGGCGAAGCACATCCAGCTGCGCTAATTCCTGTTGTGCGTGTTGTAGCAGAGCGGTCAGGCTCGTCCAGTACAGGTGGCCTCAGATGCCAACACTGCTGATATCTTCACCAAGGCATTACCGCTTCGTAACCATCAACAGTTCTGTACACAACTTGGTCTAGTCTCAGCAGCAGCTCCACTCCTTGTATCCGGAGCCAGACTATACATGCCTATACTTGTTGTGCTATATCTGTATTGTTAAATTATATATTTTATATAATTGTAGGCTTGGTAATTGTACTACTTACTGGAACCTATTGTAGAGGGTACAATGTCGAGTGACCCGCTGGGTTACCCTTGAAAAGATCCTCGGGGAAGGGCCACAGGTGCAGAGCCTGGGGGGCTATGGGCGCACTTACCCGCTATTCAACAAGCCCTTTTAACCCAGTGGTTAGTGACTGGGTTTCTGACATACAACTCCCTCCTTGTATCCCTCTCTCTTCTAATCTCTCTCTCTTTTCTCTTCTCAACTTTCCTAGTCTAAAACCTTACGTCATTCCATGGCTCCTCCTACTCCTAGCTAGCATCATTCTTTCTAGTCTTAACATGTATGTCATGCTACACTTGCTAGCTGGCCTTGTGGCCTCTTGTTTCAGTGGTCTAACTAGTCGTGGTACTCTGAATTGTCTTGTTACCTTCACCATAAGCCAAACTAGTAGTGCTCCCCTATTTCGTTAACTGCTGCATCTACCTAGGCTAGGGTAGGGGGTGTGTCAACAAACGTATATTTCTATATACCCTTATCTAGTTAAGCTTGATTTGTTTGTTATAGCCTAGCTAGGTCAGCTTTTAGAGAGTACAACACCTTGTACTTGTACCTCCCTCTCCCTCATTGTTGCGGCAGCGGATTGTATCAGCCGATTGTTGCGGTAGCGGACTGTTGCTTCCATGTACGTAAGGGGTGAACTGGAAGTAGCCAAACAATGACCCTATCAGAATCCCTTTGACAATTTCTGATGCACTTTGGATGACAGCTCTGAACTGAACAACCTCGATCAATCCTAACGTGGATCCGTTTCATTTACCGGTACTTACTTTCGTGGGATTCAATGTGGTGCAGTATTCCGAGTCACAACAATGTGGTAGCCAGTAGGGTTTGGCTGTTGAGTTGAAAGGTGCCTTGAATGCTGGCGAAAATATGAGCATATGAATAGCACAATGATGCTCACGAATCATAAATGTGGTCTTATTCACAAGGTGAGTGAGGGAATAGTAGATGGGAACACTTTCACATAAAAAAGAATGTGCTATAGATGTATTATTAGGTTCTCAGATGTATTATTATGTCGGCTCTGGCGTTATGGATTGGACCCTCGAAGGTGGTTCCTCATTTTCCCCTGTCCTCGAGAGTGTCTGGCGTCCACTCCCTCTGCCATCATTTGCGGGGTGGGAGGCAGCCGGCTTTCCGAGTCTGTGTGGCTGTGGTGAAATACAGACTTCCCAAACCACCCCGCGCTGCGGGTCTGGCCGTCTTTTTTCTGACTCACCTCTCGGGCCTCGGTTTGGTACAGTAGTCGGTCGCCTCGCCTCGCCTCCTCCCCTCATTCTCTCGCTCCTCTCTCGCCTCCTGTCCTCACCTCCCCCCCCCCCGAAGTCCCGTTGTCTCCTCAACTCATCTCAAGTGTTGTTTCGCGGGAGGTCGCATCCACTTAGCTCTATTCAGTACGTCTAACGCGGTGAAGGACGGTGAACGACGTTCGAAGACGGTTTTCGTACTTCACCGCAGTGGGCCGTGAGGGACCGAGTTGAACCGTACTAAACGCATAGCAAACGTAGTACTCGTCCGACACGCCGTAACGGCGCATGCTTCCACGCGAATTCGCGGATTCTCTCTGCTGGAGTCAAGCAGCTGGTACTTTCTGCTGTGCGCATTTTAGATGTCGCCGGTTATCGCCGGTGATCGCAATCGCGGATAATCTCGAAATTATGTCGGAGTGTACCGGATTCGGCGGATAAGTCTTGGTAGCATTGAGAAGACGACAATTCCCAGGTGACATGCAGATACGACAAACTCTACGTGACATCGGAGACACGAAAATCTGTTCGAGTCTTCAGCGGCTCACTGGCCATCTTCTTTTCCCGTTCCGTTGGCTTTGTTATGCCCTATTTACTACACCCATTGCACTTCACGCCTCCACTGGAAGCCTACTAGGCTTAGTAAGGCAGTCACTCCTCAGCCGATGTATTCACGGCTAGTAATCCGATTACTCGACGCTACTAGAGATAGATCCGAGGCAGTGGCTGTAACGCGGTGGCAAAGGCTTCAGCGGACATATTGAACAAGTAGTAACGCCTGCGGACTCTGCAGGGCTGCGGAACGCCTGTGGACTGTAACGCATGTGGAACGCGTGTGGACTGTAACGGCTGCGATCAACTCAAAAGTCACCAAGGCAGGCACTCGGCTCCTCCCAGCGGCGAGTGCGTGCGAAGCGTCGCGAATGATGGCATTTAAGCTTCGCGAACAGCAGGATCGTTCGCCGCGGTGTTCGCGAAGAAGTTACCACCACCTCCAGGCGTCGTGGTCAGTGTGGCGACTCCTGTCGCTGCTATTGCTATTCCTCGGCTTCTTTGGCCTTACCCACAATGTTCTTGTGGAGAATGAGCAAGGTGCGTGCTTTGTATCGCGTGTGCCTGTATCTTGTGTGTGCTTGTATCACGTGTGCCTATATCTTGTGTGTGCTTGTATCACGTGTGCCTATATCTTGTGTGTGCTTGTATCACGTGTGCCTATGTCTTGTGTGTGCTTGTATCATCGTGTTTGTGTCTCGCGTGTGCGTGTATCGCACGGTAACTCCTGTCGCTGCTACTGCTAGTCCTCGGCTTCTTTGGCCTTGCTTTGCTGCTCATGCTGCGCCTCTCCCTCCACCCATTCTTGTGACGAAACGTCAACGTGCGTGCTTGGATCCTGTGCCGTCTTCATATATCAGACGTGCTTGCATCACGTGTGCTTCGCGTGTGCGTGTAACACATGTGCCTACATCACTTCCCACTAAGTCCCCAATTCCTTCCCCGTCATCCTTCCCGCCATTTTTGCCTGTTTCTGCAAGCGAGGTATTGGCGCAACGTGCAAAGGAAATGGGCGCGACTTGCTAGTATTGAGGCGCCTCAAAACTAGGCCCTTACCACTCCCCCCATTCTACTGGTTTGTGAGCAGGCAAGGTATTGGCGCAATGTGCAAAGGAAATGGGCGCTTCTGGTAACAAGTGGGGGGCTAACGCTACGTGCAATGTGATGAGCATCGGGCTTGTGTGTAACAAAGACGGAACAGTCAATACCATGTGAGTAAAATAGGTGTACGCGTTATTTGCAGTAGGTGCTGATGATTTGTGAAGAAGGCTTGAGGAACACATCGCTTCACCCATCCACCCACCCACTCAACCACCCACAGGCAGCGATTAATTCCCCAACCACTGCTCCATTCCTCTCTCTCCCTGCAGTTATTTGAGTTGACTCAAAGCTTCTTCTACCACTGCTCTCTTCCTCTCTGTCCTGCAGTTCTTTGCCCAGCTCTAACCTGCATGGAAGCATCTGCTCCGCTATAGGCAACCTCACTACTCTCGTTACAATGTGAGATGCCCTGAAAACCCAAAACTCTGAACTACACTCGATGCTGTCCCTCCAAAACCCTTTTGCAACCCCACCTCGCACCCCTTCCCCCACCTCGCACCCCTTCCCCCCTCCCCCACCTCGCACCCCTTCCCCCACCTCGCACCCCTTCCCCCACCTCGCACCCCTTCCCCCACCTCGCACCCCTTCCCCCACCTCGCACCCCTTCCCCCACCTCGCACCCCTTCCCCCACCTCGCACCCCTTCCCCCACCTCGCACCCCTTCCCCCACCTCGCACCCCTTCCCCCACCTCGCACCCCTTCCCCCACCTCGCACCCCTTCCCCCACCTCTCACCCCTTCCCCCACCTCTCACCCCTGCCCCTTTCCCATCCCCCTGTCCCCTCCCCAGCAATCTGAGATTCAACTCTGTGACACGACCCATCCCTGCCAGCATTGTTTTCAGGCTCCAATCCTCGCTCTCCCCCTTCCACCTCCTTCCCCCCCTTCCCCCCCTTCCCCCCTTCCCCCCATTTCCCCCTCCCCTCTCTTTCCCAGCGATCTGAGCTCCAACTCTCTTAAAGGGCCCATCCCCGCCAGCATTGGCCAGCTCTCCCTACTGCAGACACTGTGAGAGGGGGGAAGAGAGGGAAGAGGGGGCGGGGGGGCGGAGACGGGAGAGGGCGGTGCGGTGTATGGCACAAACGAATATCGTATCAAGCCCATCCCCGCCAGCATTGGCCAGCTCTCCCTGCTGCAGACACTGTGAGGGGAAGGATGTGGGGGAGGAAGGGGGGAGTGAAAGGGGGCGGGGCGGAGGGAAGGGGCGGTCATGGTTGGTGTCTGACCCCATCGTAGACAATGTTGGGAAGAAAAATCGTAGGGAAATTTTTCCTTTCTTTTTCAACTGACCATAAGCATCAGTCCAAAACAAGACAAGCGTTTGTACGCGTCCGCAAATGTTACGTGATAGCCTCACTCGCATGTCCCCCCCTTCAACGTTAGTCCACGTCAGTGTTCAGTTCTCTACTTTCCAACTTAGCTTTCGAGCAACAATTGAAAGTCGTGCACAATCCTCCTCAGAGAGCATTACTTTCTACGGTTCTGACATTTGCTGACCGTCAACATTTTTTTTAGCCGACCGTAGACGTTCCTCTGCTAAATTATGTTGGCTTGCATTGTCTGTCCTACACACGCTGTGATGCAGGCATGTGGGTGCAAAATCTTTGAGTGGGGAAATCCTTGTTTTGAGGCGCCTCAAAACTAGACTCCTATCACGCGGTTTTTGAGGCGCCTCAAATCTGTCCTACACACGCTGTGATGCAGGCATGTGGGTGCAAACTCTTTGAGCGGGGAAATTCTCCCAAAGCTGGCATCTCTCACCAGATTGAAGTTTCTGTAAGTTGCTCGGAGTAAGTTGATGAAACCTCATAGTGTCTCTTAGCTTTTCTTGCTGAGCCTGTGCCATCACAGTTCCCTTGCAGTCTGCAGCCTGTGCCATCGCAGTTGCCATCACAGCATGCAGAGGCCCTCAACAGTTCCCTCTCGCAGTCTCTAACAGTTCCCTTGATATTAGTTCATTATGCTACCGAGGTGACTTTTGAGTCGACTCAAAAGTCACCTCATTATGCTACCTTGCTTGCAACTCCCCTTCCTGGGCTGTTCAACTCTCTTGAACTCTTTTTATAAGCCACTCCAGTTTTATTTAAAGTCAACTCAAAAGTCTTCCCCAGTCCTTATCACGTGCAGTATCCACAGCCATACTTCTCTCAGTACAGCAGTTTCTCAGTTACTTCCCATCTCGTTGCCCTCCAGTGACATAGCAGAAAACAGGTTCAGCGGAAACATCCCCGCAGAATTTGGAGCTTTGACCAACCTTCAGCACGTGTACGCAAATTCTGGGCAACCCTCCCACGTCCACACAGTATGTATCTGTTGGTGTCTGAAACTCTTTTGAGGCGTACGCAACCATCCCTCGAAAATTTGAAACTTGCCGTGCCTCTCCCTCACACCCAGCTCCCTTCACCTCGTTCTCAGCAGCTCGCCTTTCCACCCTGGTTTTCTACTTTCTTCCCCTCCCCGCCGTTCACCCTCTCTTTGCATTATTTCTTCCTGCGTTAACGGTTTACTGTAAAGTCAACTTAAAGGCACCTCCTCTCCTCTTCCCACCACTTCCATAAACTCTCAAACCCTTCCTTTCCTTGAAAAGCTCTCTCACATGACAAGCGTGTATCTGCTATAAGAAACGTCCATTATGCCACCGTTTTGCAGCCCTTTGAAGCTTCGCTTTCAAGTTGACTCGAAAGAAGAGCTCTCTCTCACTCACATGACAAGCGTGCATCTGCTATAAGAAATGTCCATCGCGCCACCGTTTTACAGCCCTTTGAAACTTCACTCGTGCCCATCCCATCCCCTTCTCCCCTTTCCCTGAGGAGTCTATTTTTGAGGCGCCCTCGCGCCCATCCCATGCCCTTTTTCCCCGTCAACAGTAATCTCGCTGGCAATGATGCCCTTTTTCCCCGTCAACAGTAATCTCGCTGGCAATGGCTTTCAAGGTCGCATCCCCGCCTTCTTTGCGAACCTCACCAATCTCAAGATGTTGTAAGCTTTAGCCAAGAGTCCAACGTTCCAGAACACTAAGGCTTATTCCTTGTTTGGAACAATTGAACTTTTCTAATACTTGATAGTAGTGAGCAAACTCTTCTGTTTTTTTCCCCTTGGCTGACCTGCTGTTTCGCAGGTCATTTCAGAATAACCAGTTTTCAGGGGAGATTCCTTCTGGATTGGGAACTCTCATTAATCTCACTGACCTGTGAGTTTACCATAATAGTCAATCACTGCTCAAGTTCGCGCTTAAAAAAAATCTTTCTCAGTACCTTAATGCAGGTTACCATGTGTCGCCGCCGCCATCGTCATATGATCGTATCCAAAACCATCGTCACATTCCCCATGCCTCCAAAAGAAACCTTCTTTGGTACTGTTGCTCCAACGTGTGAGAATATTTGTGAGGCACTGTGATTTAAAGAATGTGTGTCGCTTGCCGTCTTTCTCACACCCTCCTTGCTTGCAGGAGCTTCGCCCAAAACAAGCTTTCAGGCACTGTTCCTCCAACCCTTGGAAACCTCACCCGCCTCAAAACCCTGTAAGAATAAGGGCGGTTAAACTGGGGAAAGGGGGTTGCAGAGTGTGACCTCACACGAAACAGTTAATTTCATTCTCATCTGAGAAAATCTCACTCCTCTACCGCATTCTGTGTAATGAGTATATTTTTTAGTTGAGTTTACTAAAAAATCGGGTCATTTCATGTGAGAGGATCTCACTCCTCTTTTTGAGGCGCCTCAAAAATGGATCTCACTCGTCTCTCGCATTCTTTTCATCCAGAGATCAGTTTCATTTCTCACTCTTTTCCCCCATGCTTCTCTCGAACCCCAGCAAACATATATGTGAGCTCGCCACATTCGTGAAACCCGGCCGGCGCCGCCGCCTCAAAACAGGTTATTTTACGTGCCGCCGCCACGTCTCCATATGATGTATTTTTAATCGACTCAAAATACACCTCAAATTACGTGCCGCCGCCTCAAAACAGGTTATTTTACGTGCCGCCGCCACTTCTCCATCCATATGATCTTATCCACACCCATCATGACATCGCCAGTGCCTTCCCTCCCCGGGCTTCGCCAAAAACTCTCCCGGGCACCGTTCCCCCAACCCTTGGGAATGGTTGTGAGGCACTGCAATTTAACGCGTGCCATAGCGTCTTTCTGCTGTCTTTCTCATGCTGTCTTTCTCACACCCTCCTTGCAGGAGCTTCGCCAAGAACACTCTTTCAGGCACATTTCCTCCGACCCTTGGGAGCCTCACCCGCCTCACTACCCTGTGAGTAGAAAGGTTGCTAGAAGGGAAAGGAGGGTCACGGAGCGAGCGTGACCTCATACAAAACAACCATTTCATTCTCATTCTCACTCTCCTCTCTCTAATGCTCCTCTCTAACCCCAAAACGCTGAAGAAGAGTTTAGCAGCTGTTTAACACCCGTCTCATTTCCTCCTCTCCCGTCTCCTCTCCCGTCTCCTCTTCCTTCTCCACTCCCTCCCTCCCTTCGCCCAGTGGGGTGAGGGATAGTGGAGCGAATTGCTCCGTAGAATCCGGGCAGTCGTGTGTGGTGAAGCAGACCTCCTCATCACTGTTCTGCTACTGGTGCTCTGACTTCTGCTCCTACTGCGTCCCCATCTCAAATCCTCTCCCCATGGCACCCCCTCCATCATCACCTCCGTCCTCCGGTCTCTCTCTGGGAGCTATCATTGGGATTGTGGTGGGAGGCATCCTCGTTATTGGCCTCCTCGCCATCGGCATGCTGCTTCTCTACAAACGGAGGTCTACCAAAGGTGAAATACGCATGGCCCACTAGACGTGGGGCTTTATTTTCTCTTTCAACCTTTTTATCCAACTTCATGTTCGCAAATCGACCTCCATGTCTTTGGACCCATAGCGTGCTTGGGCCCATAGCGTTCATCAATTCGGGTCCTATATATCACGCCCCCATGACCTCTTTGCGCCACATCAATTTCGTTTTAAGACGTCTCATATACCTCTGTGCGCCATCCTTCACATCCTGTATCATGCCCCCATGACCGGCCTCGCTCCCATTCCTAGCGCCTGAGAAATCGAATCCGCAGGCAGGTGACGGATCGTTCAAGGAAGAGTCGTCAATGCCCAGCCATGCGCACATGTGCCAGCGCTACTCCTTCGCCGAGGTTTCAAAGGCAACGGACAACTGGGCGGAGGCGAACCACATTGGGACGGGTGGCTATGGCGAGGTTTATCGGGGGGTGTCTCCTAGTGACCCCTCTGTGGTTTGGGGCGTGAAACGAGCCAAGATACTCACCAACGACTTCAGGCGAGAGGTGCGTTTGGGTTGAGGGCCAAGAGCTATAGATTCCTAGGGAGTAAGGGAGGTTGTTTGTCTCCTGGTGACCCCTCTGTGGTGTGGGGTGTGAAGCGGGCCAAGATTCTCACCAACGACTTCAGGCGAGAGGTGCGTTTGGGTTTAAGGGGTTGTGTGTTTGGGTGAGTGCGAGGGAGAGTGGGGATGTCTCCTGTTGATCCTTGTGTAATGTGGGGTGTGAAGCGAGCCAAGATACTCACCAACGGGGGGGTGGGTGATGCGAACCACATTGGGACGGGCGGGTATGGGGAGGTGTATTGGGGGGTGCCCGCTCGATGACTCGGTGGTGTGGGCTGTGAAGCGAGCCAAGATACTCACCAACGACTTCAAGCGAGAGGTGCGTGTGGCTAAAGGTTGTGGGGGAATGGCTGAGAGCTAGTGACGGCGGCCTGGGAGTGTGGGGGGCTATGTGCCGCTGTTGAGCCTTCTTCGGCATGGTCTATGGAACGAGCCAAGTTACTCACCAACGACTTGAGGCGAGAGGTGGGTGTGAGTTAAGGGATGGGGGAAGGGCTGGCTGAGAGTTAGTGACGGCGGGCGGGGACTGTGGGAGGGGGGCTAGGTGTCGCTGTTGACCCTTCTTTGGCGTGGCTTGTGAAGCGGGCCAAGATACTCACCAACGACAACTTTAGGCGAGAGGTGTGCGAGCGAGGCAAGAGGAGAGGAGTTTCTTGATTTTTTAAGGACATGTAGAGATAGTCAAATCTCGGTTGCAAATAGGAACGACAACGGGTAGCTAGGAACATCTAGCCACATTTTTGAAAGTATGTGAGACTTTTGAGAACATAGCTAGGAAAATATAGCTACAATTTTTATTTTATTATGAAGTATGTAAATAGAGTTGAAGAGAACGTGTGCACATTCTCCCAAATCTTTCCCCATCCCTTCATTACCTTCCAGGTGGAGGAGATGGCATCGAAGAGCCATCCGAACTTGGTGCGTCTACTGGGGTACTGTGTACACATCGACATGGCAACAGAGCACCACGAGCAGATCGTCATCTATGAGTTCTGCTCCAATGGGGACCTTGAGAAGTACCTCAGTGGAGGTATGTGAGGCATTTAAATCGATGGGAGCTAGCACTTGCACGCATTGCAATATTTTCCAGCACATTGCACTCACTGAACCGAAGGTTAAGCACCAAAGGTGAACGCAATGTGGTTGTTCAACCATCGTTGCCAGTTGATGCGTGAACATGGTGGTCTAATCTAAACCCTTGATGGAAGCTCCTTGTCTTTTGATGCTGCATCTCACCCCATCATTCTTCTATGCAGGCCCCAAAAAAGGCTCCTTGTCACTAGAGCAGCGCATGGAGGTGGTGGTGGGTGTGGCGCGGGGATTGGAGTACCTGCACCAGTTTGACATCGTGCATCGAGACATCAAGCCCGCCAACGTGCTGCTCGATGCTAACATGCAGGTGGGTAAAAATCTTAAAGTCTTGTTGTTTATCAATTGCTCATGCTGCTTGTAGTTTAGGTTCTAGCCTTTAAATGTTCTTTTGGATGGCTGGGCTAGCATGGCACAGGTGGCGAGCTGCGGGATACAACAGGGTTTAGATATAACTTCTAGAGCGGCTGCATAGAAATGATTCAGGTGGTTGTATTTTCAAATGACGCTAGTCTATGGCTAAGTAGTATCTTTATGGTTAATACTAAACATCTGGTGAAGTACCGAATCTATGGTAAATACCACATTTATGGTTGAGTGTTTAATTACTGACCATGTGGTAAGTGCTGCACATACGAAGCAGTAGAGTCAAGGGTTTCGGTGGTGGTAGATGCAAAGTTTACCAACACAAGGATCGCATCAGTAATTTGGAAGTTGCTTCTCCGCCAGTTACTATATCTGTGTACACCACCGACACAATCGATTTTGTTACACGAGGTTTCGTGTTTAGGTATTTGGGCTTAGGGTTTTGCCTTCAATCGATGGCCCTTCTTCGTTGCTCTCCCTCCACAGCTGAAGGTGTTGGTTTTGGGTTTGGTTTCTTCAGACATATGTGTCAGGGTTTAGCGTCATGCATGATCATGTCTAATCACAAACCGCCCCTTTTCCTCCTCCTCCTCCTTCCCTTATCCGCAGGCGAAGATGTCTGGCTTGACCTCGCGCATTGTAGAATCTTCATACTCCCACCCCCCCCACCCCACCCAAATATACATCTCCAAGCGAAAGAATCAATCTTTGGGCTGGTGTGCATGACATCAACCTCTCAATTCCCCTCACCACAGGCGAAAAGTGTCTGACTGGCCGTGGGCTCATGCGCACAGCATTGATCTTTACTATTAATCCCTTTTCTCTAGGCCAAGGTGTTGGACTTCGGTTCGCTCTGGTATGCATGGCATCAACCTCTCAATTCCCCTCACCGTAGGCGGAAGTGTCCACCTGAGTGCGGGCTCGTGCGCATGACGTCAATCTTCAAAATCAGTCCCCCTTCTCCAGGCAAAGGTAGCAAGATCTAGTTTCTCTCCCCCCCACATCACGGCGAAGGTTCCTGACTTTGGGCAGGTGCGCATGACGGAGGGCGCCATGGTGAATCGCACGTGTGGATTTAATTTCATCCCTTCCTCCCTAAATCACCCCCCACGACAGGCAAAGGTGTCGGACTTTGGGCTGGTGCGCATGACGGAGGGCACCACGGTGAATCCCACCAGAGTGGTCGGCACCCCGGGCTATGTGGACCCCGCTTACTCCCGCACCAACAAGGCCACCCCCATGGCTGACGTGCACAGGTGAGTGATGAGGGCGATTTCAAGCAATTTCCGTGGCTGATGTGCACAGGTGGGTGGTGAGATGCCTGCAAGTGGGTTGATTCAAGGTCACCACCATGGCATAAGTGCACAAGGTGGCTCTTCAATGATTCCTCTTTTTTTAGGAAGCAATGATGCCGTGGAGCCGCTGACGTTTGGCTTATTTCAACTCCTCCGTCCTTGGTCAAATTGTGATCTTTGTCAAGTGTTTCTTTGTCGGATCCACCCCCCCCCCTTTCCCCCCTTTGCAAAAGCTTTGGCGTGATGATGCTCGAAATCATGCTGACCAAGCCTGTCGTGATGCACGTGAATGGCGGAACCAACATTAGAGACTGGGTAAGTGTATATCATGTAACTGTCTAGTGTGTGTTCCGTGCTCCTTTTGTGTTCTTACACATCTCTCATGTGCACTTACCAGCTTGCAGTGCTCTCCATTGTCTTACAAGACTTGAGACCACATGCTAATCGATTTTGGCGAAGGCTTCATAAGTCTTTCACCCCCACACCATGGTTGTATTTTTTGCATTCCATCTATCAACCTACGTCCAGGTTGCCGAGCGGGTACAACTGGGAGAGGTAGACGCCCTCAAAGACCCTCACCTTGACACGGTGCCCAGCGAGCTTCTTCTCAAGCTGGTCGAGCTTGCACTGCAATGCACATCATTGCCTGCTTCGTCTCGCCCACACATGACTGAAGTTGTCGCGCAATTGGTTGCCATGAAAAGGGAATTTGTGAAAGATGGTGGCTCGGCAAAGAAGTCGCGGATGCAAAAGATCGACGATGAGGTCGCCATGCGAAAGACAGGGAGCAATATGGAAGAGGAGCTCGAGCTGCTGGATGAAATGCTTGGTTAAGTACCGCAGATTTCGGCACTGAGTTCTTTTCCCCAGACGAGCACAGTGCTGAATGTAATTTATTGTAACTGCTCAACAATGTCATTAACAACTTCAAAACTAATGTCATCTTAAATTTTGCCTCCCCTCCAATTTGTGGTAAGGGTTCCAGAGATTTGGTACACTGCCCTTACAAAAACGGGAGTCGAATTTTCAGAGTACGGTGATTTTCTTACCAGCCGGGCCCTAGTTGACCCCTACATCTGCAACCCTAGAAATCCGTTTTGATTCCTCCTAGGCTCACTTTTCTTCCACGCAATCCCGCGATTAGGTTTTGCTCGTCTAGTCGCCAGCGCTTTCTGTCCGCAGCTGCCACGTCAGCCTGCCGCTGACGAATTTCCACTATCAGCAAAGCACGCCGCGGATCGCGGCACAGTTTCTCGGCAACTAGTAGCTCGGATTCGACACCTCGGATCCGCCAGCTGATTTTGAGCCTGGCTTCTTTTCCCCACCCTCTAGTAGCAAGTTTTAGGATCTGCATAGTCCTCGCAAGCTAAATAGTTCTGTTTGATTTCCTAGTGCACTGATAAATTTTAAAATATGAGTAAGTCGTTGGGGATTCCAGTGAAGCTGCTGCACGAGGCGCAAGGGCACGTTGTTACTATCGAGTTGAAGAACGGGGAGTTATATCGAGGCACGCTGACGGACTGCGAGGATAACTGGAACTGCCAAATGGATAACATCACGTTCACGGCTAAGGTACGCCCGTTACAGTCACGTCTCCTGTTTTATTATCCTTCTTGCCTCGTTTTAAAATCTCGCCAGATCTGCGTCTTAGTTTCTGCAACTTTCCTTGACTGCGGGAAGTATCGAGCGGGTGGTTGGGTGGTGTGGGTATGAAAGTGAGGGTGTGAGTGAGTGAGGAAGTGAGATGAGCGTGAGTACTGATCAGCGTCAGCATGCCCATGAGTCGGCTCAAGCAACCGTCTATGATTGGCTTTAGGTCTAGGCGTGTGTGCGACGGTGGGTGCGACGGTGGGTGCGACGGTGTGCGCGATGTTGTTTGCAAACCACAGTCCCTTCCATTGCGCATTCGTGTACGGGCAGAGAATTCCGCGCCATTGAGATTTTCGCGCCTCTGAGATTTTCTGACGTTCAATTCCCTCTCGACTCCCGTAAGGAGCCTCGACCGTCGCAAGTCCTAGGTTGCGACGCCGTTCGTTGGCTTGTCTTGGTACGCCGTTCTAGAACCCCTCAAAGCTCTTTCAAACCCTAGGGCTTGCTTGAGGTTCGCTTGACCAGCGCGAATCCAAGCGAAAACAGCGTGTAATGAGTCTGCTTTTGAGTCGATTCAAAAGCAGAATCCAAGCGACAAAACTTTAAGCTCTTCCCCGTTCCTCCCTCTCCCCCCTTTTGTTCCGAAACCCCGTTTCCCCCGTCGTGTACATTTAGGACGGCAAAGTGTTTTGAGACGTCTCAGAACAAATATTCCATCACGTGGTTTTGTTTGGAACTCCCGTTTCTCCCTTTGTGTAGATTCTGAACGGCAAAGCGTTGCAGTTGGAACGTGTCCTCGTCAGAGGCAGCTCCGTTAGAATACTGTAGTAAATGTCATTCATTTTCCTCTTTCAAACCCTAACTCTGTGCTGCTCCGACGCCTGTGCAGGACGGCAAGGTGTTGCAGTTGGAACATGTCCGCATTAGAGGCAGCTTCGCTCAAACAAAAGTCGTTTTTTGGCCAATAACTTTCTCCAAATCCAATATGCCCTCCAGCTATGCAGGACGGCAAGGTGTTGCAGTTGGAACATGTTTTCATCAGAGGCAGCTTCGTCGAAACAACAATACCTTATTTTCCTACCACTTTCTTTCAACCCTACCACCTGTGCAGGACGGCAAAGTGTTGCAGTTGGAGCATGTCTTCATCAGAGGCAGCTTCGTCCGGTGAGTATTGCTTTATAGTGGGGACCTGAGAGCAAGTGCTACTTATATCACGTACTTGCGGTAATTAAGGATGCGATTTGTGCTTAATTTGTCAGAATGCGGGTGTATTGTCATATCCTCCATCCTTGCCGCTCATCACACCTGATCTACCCCCTCCAACCTCTCCCCCCTCCCCCCTCCCCCCTCCCCCTACCCCCTCTCCCTTGACAACACCCCCCGCCCCCCTCCCTCTCCTCCTCTTCTTTTCCTTTGGCTTTGTTATCATACCTGACATGCTGCAGAATGCACCCGTGTTCAAACGACTGGACGCTTGAGTTCTCTCCTCCTTTCTTTCCCCCACTCCCCCATCCTCCCCATCCTCCCCTTCCTTCCGCATCCTCCCTCCCTTGCATTATCACCTGACATGCTGAGAATGCTTCATTTCCCTCCTCCTTTGGCCCCCCCGCACTCTACTTTGTTCCCCCATCCTCACCCTTTCTCTCCCCCCCCACGCTCCCCTTTGGTACCGCATCTTACCCCATCCTATTCCCCTCAGCTTCGTCATCATCCCTGACATGCTGCAGGCGCTTGATTGCCTCCCGCCTTCCTGCCCCCACACTCCCCTTGGTTACCCTATCCTCCCCAGACCTGTTCCCCTCAGCTTCGTCATCATCCATGCCTCAGAACGCACCCATGTTCAAACGGCTGAAATCGTATCCCTCATCCTCTACCCCCCACCTTCCGCCCTCTACCCTTCAGCTTCGTCATCATCCCAGACATGCTTCGAAACGCACCCATGTTCAAACGACTGGAAGCCAAACTTAAGGTCGGTTGCCCTCTCGCTCTCCTGCCGTTCTTCCTCGCTTCTAGCCCTCCTTCGCCACGTCTCGCCCTCTCCGTTCTCTCTTGTTTAAATGACTGGAAGCCAAATTCAAGTTGTGTTACCATTTCCTTTGGCCCCATCTCCTTCCCCCTCCCCAACCCTCCCCCCTCTCTCCCACCTTTTCTTGTAGAAACAACCAGCAGCCCTACAGCAAAGTTGTATTCTTTCCCTCTCCCTTCCCATTCTAGTATTTCATCCCATACAAACTCGCATACAAACTCGCATACAAACTCGCATACAAACTCCCATACAAACTCGCATACAAACTCTTCTTCCTTCTCCAGGGCAAGGCGTCGTCCAGCCTGGGAGTGGGCAGGGGCAGAGCCATGGCGATGCGAGCCGAAACACAGCCTGCAATGAGTGCACCAGTGGGAGCACTGGGAGCAGCAAGGGTCATGTCTCTCATATTCTCCTGTACTTGCTCCCCCCCTCCCATGTGGAAACTGTGGTGCATTCAGGGCAAGGGGTCATCTAACCTGGGAGTGGGCAGGGGCAGAGCCGTGGCCATGCGAGCCAAAGCGCGGTCAGCAGCAAGGGGAGCGCTGGGAGCAGCACCTGACGGTGGTGGTGCTCCTATGGGCATGATGGGCCGAGGTGCCCCCCCTCCTCGGCGGTAACGATGTTACAGAGTGTTATTTCATGTGTGTTATGAATGGAACTGCCGAGTAGCACGGAGGGCAATGGCGAAACTGCGAACGAGTGAATGACAATAAAATGAAAGAGAATACAATATATAGAAAACCTAGGCTGATGATCCTGCACGTAGGATCGGAAGGTTCGGGAAAGGTGTCGAAGGGCCTCGATGTGTCGAAGCGAGGTCCGGAAAGGCCCAGGAGGCTCGAACTGAGGTCTGGAACCCTGGCGATGGTTCGGGACTGTTCGAGTCGTACGCCCTATAGCAAGCCTCAGTAAGGAATTTCTAATTCCTTAGAGTGTGTTGACTTTGTTGCGCTTAAAGTGAGGGTCTCGAGAAGCAAAAGCCAAACCCAAAGGTTTTGGTTTCGGGGGATCTCGAAAATTGCGAGGTGTGGTGAGGGTGCTAGTTGGGCGTTGTTACTTTTTCGCTAATTTCGTCAACCCAAAACCGAACCTGTTGGATTTGGTTTTTTGCTTCTCGAGACCCGTGCTTTAACCCTCAGTTTTTTTGCATTTAGAAGCATAGTGTAACTTGAACTTGTGTACTGTAAAATTGCAGCTGCTGGTGCCAGAGCTCTTTCATCCCGCGTACCTGTACTGGATATGAATCGATAACTTTTTAAGACTGGAACTAAGTGTCACGCCACGCTGAAAGTCTGTGCGTCACGTTTGCTATATGAGGGATTATTCATGGGAGTTGGGGAACCTAAGGTTGCCCGTCATAATCAGATCATAACAAGCCGTACTTGCAGCATGCACTCATTTCTTGGCTTCAGGACTGTATTGAGAATGACCACAGCGCGGTAACTTTTGACCAGGGTGCTGTGCAACACAACCACGTCAGGCCTGCCTTCAACTGTGGACTTGAATCAACCCAGTCTGTTGTGCCTTCATGACGATCGCCGGTTGTGGTGCCGAGGAGCCTTGGCGTAATATTTTCTCTGATATTCCGAGAGCTTCATTGGTCCTTGTTTGTGGTGCCTTGGTGGGCGAAGTAGAGGCAACAGTTACCTCAACCTTCCATAAGTTTCGCACACACCTCTTCTGTGCCTAGCCGAGGGATTGGGTAACGCGTAACCGCTCGAATAGGGGTAGTTACTCCTATTGTCTAGAGATTCCGGAATTGTATTGGTGTTCAGTGCTGTTTGATTTAACATTGATCGAACCGTTTCGGCTCCTCTATAGTATGGAACGAGGGACAATGTGTTTTTTTGTCCCACCCCCTGTATTGCAAGAGGTCCTCGTCTCCCAGGCAACGTCAATGCCTGTGATGTGTCACAGTTCAGAGATACAGTTCCCATACGTATGGATGGACAGTTGGGGGAGATCCTTCTTTGCACCTGAACAGTTGGTTGCTGCCATCAAATCACGTGATCTACACATGCTCCATGACATGCACACCTTTGACAGGCTGGCGTTGACACGTCAGGCGCTGCTTCTCCGCAAAGCCAAACTACTGGCGTGTGACTGTATACTGTATCCATATCTACAGAGTGTATTTACTCTCCCGCTTAGGTAGTTCTGTGTAAATGCATCAGTTCGTGAGCTTTAACGTAAGGACGTAGCCTTCTGGTTCGTGTACAACCATTTTCAAATCTGCGGGCAGTTTAAAAGAGGGTGGTTATGAGTGGTCCTTGCCCAGTGCTGGACGAGGTCCTATCCTTAGGTGTCTTCTGTAATGAGTCCTTACGAGGAAATGATTTCGACACCTCAACCAAACACGACAGATCTCATCCAATTCTGTCCCCGACAATCGGCGCGACCTCCATGTTGTGCAAAGTTCAGAACTTCCTGACCTGGAATGAATCATCAATTGGTGACAGCCGAGTTATCCTAACGGCCTTGCACGCTCTTGACGTCACTACCTAACCGCGGCTGTTGATTCCACACTGCTGTATGGACTGGATGTATAATAGTTTTAGGTCGCTCTTGAGCACCGGTGTTTATAAGCGGCGGCAAGCTTAGGTTTCGGGGCTCGTGTCAACCTTCTGGTCATGTCATCCTAGCCCCAACTTCGGGTCTTCCTGCCATCACTTCGGGTTCACGAACTGGCAGGTGCTACAGTGCTCAGCGATGTAAGTGCAACCAAGTTAAAATTTCGCCGAGATGTGCAGCAAATCCTCCCTGCATGGTTGCGCTGCGCATACCAAAATTCGTTTGTTTCGTTCGTGTGTTTCTAGTCGTGGAAGGTATGTATGTCGTGGACTCGAAGCCTCAGGTCTTCCACCTTCGGATCTTCCGCGGCTAGCCCGAAGTTTGACACGAGCCCCGAATGGGCCCTGACTTATGTCAATGGTGCAGTCATGCAAGAATAGCATTTTCTGGAAAGGTCAAATGGGGGTTATTGGAAGTCATTTCCGAAAGTCAGCACCCTTCAACTACTACAGAAAAGCAGACGAGTTTGTTATGGATACCTTGATAAAACGAGTTTCTCAGGGCAAGTACAGCGACCTTGCCCATATCTGCCATGCCTAGAACCTTCCTTTGTGGCACCCCATTGAGGTTGACACTGCACATGGGATGGGACCACAGGTGACATGACACGTCACACGTGGCAGGTGGGTGGAGTCGACGTTGCGTCACAATGGGTGCACATAGTCGCATGACGACACTCGGACGACACCTGTCCAGCGCGAAATTTGAATGGCTCCAACTTGAATTTCCCGCCCAACCAACACGGCTCGTGCGTGGCGCCGCCCCTACCGCCACTCCACCGAACCCAGCGCTGACCCCAGGCGAAGTTCCTCCCCCTTACCTCCCTCACTCACCTCGCCCCACCTGCCGACCAGATTAGGGGGCGTTCTGCGGCTTCCTCTCTACCCCTTCAAGGCTTCTTGACCAATCAGAGCACTGGACTGGCGTCACCATCCTCATCTGCTGCTGGTGGCGTGAAGGTGAGGTCAACGCAAGCACAGCCCCTTCTCCTCCTACGCGTTCCAAACCACCCCACATTCCGCCCTACCTTCCCCCTCCTGCAGGACACCTTTCCCCGCAACTCGCTTTTCCTCCAACACTTCTTTTCCGCCGTCCCCCTTCCCCCTACACTCCAGAAGCGCAAGCCCCACCCACCCCCCCCCCCCCGCCCCCCTCTCTCAGTTCCCCCAATCCGAACGAAGTGACGTGACTCCAGCTAGCTTTTCCCCTCTCAGGCCCCTTCCCGAGCAAGCTAGGACCCCCCCCCATTCCTTCCCCTCCCCTCACCGTGGCAGTTCCCTTCACTCCAGATTCTTCGTTCCAGTCCAGCCAGCACAAATGCAGCGCAATCCTGCAAGAAACCCTCAGTTGCTGCTCCACGGTTTACATTTGCCAGCTTTCCTCTGCCTCCAGTTTGGCGTTGACTAAAAAACGTCCGTTCTGGTAGATATTCAGTTGGCGACAGCTTCATATCATTCTTCGTCTTTGGGTGCTCTACAGGCTCGCGCTGTCCGTTCTTCGGCGACCATCTGCTGATTTCTACTTGACAATCCCGCATTCTTCCCACGTACTTGAGTGTTGCTCGCTTATCTTCACCTCACGTGCTCCTTCAGCTCAGACTCTACATTGCAATGCTTATGGCTCCAGGTTGCACGGCCAATTTCCTCCCCGAGTCTTTCCAAATGGCGGGCTCTATGCAGCTTCGATGCAAGAGCATGAACGATCTGACGGCGATCGACTTTTCAGGATCGAAATTCCCGTCTAACCTGTCTGAAACGAGAGACTCATCCGCAGCAACGCCTCGTCTGTCGGTGAAACGCTCTCGGGGACGTCAATCTGGCGGAATTATCGTTGAGATTACCGGAACGCCGCTGAACACGGGAGTCTCCGTCGTCGTCTGTCCTGGCGCGCCTATTAAGAGCAAAGGAGCGTTCAAGACTTATGGTGCATCGCGGAAACCCGTGTCTAGCGGCCTCGTTCGTCGTCTGAACTTCTCGTTGGAGGCGTCTGACTCGGCAACGTCGATGCCGACGGGAAACTCGAACTCAAGCTCTTCTTAACTTCGTCCGGGAATCACTGAACTTCGCTCGGCAACGTCAATGTCAGCATCGATTTCCGAAATGGCGGCCAGGAGCTCTTATCTTGGAAGATCTAACTTGGAACTTGGCGTTACCGCATTAACCAAGACTGACGTACATCATCAACTTTGGATCGACCTCAGCTGCTTCGCGCAAGCGAGGCAACTGGTTTCTTGTTCCGCTGCACTCTCGGGACTTAATCGACGTTCACAGGACTATCTGGGGACTGACACCAGAACCCGGTAGACCATGGACTGATTAATTCCTGGAATCGTGGTATGCATGCTAAATTATCCTTGCTTCTTTCTTGTACAGCTTCGCCTCATCTTATACTGACTGTTAATCTCACTCTTCCAGCACAATGGCTTCTCCACTTGTGAAAAAGTAACGTTTCTGATTAGAGAATGATGTGAAGGCATACCGGTAATGCAGGCGCCTTGCAGCCTGACCTCTGTAAAACAGCGTCTTGCTCATCCTGCTTCTTGCAGGTTGTTGCACTGAAATAGTGTGCTCATGAATAAGCATGTCCTAGCATTCGCTTGTAGATAGCAAATCATCTCATCGGATTACCACAAGCGAATTACTCCACTCCTGCAAGGACCTTAGGCATATGCTGGGTGTTGTAGCCTCATGCAATATGCTTCAATAGACACCGTGCGTGCTCTAAGGGATCATTCCTTGGACCTCGCGTCAGACTCGTGCAGTCCTGCCCGGTGCAAAGATTTGATCTTTCTATTCCATGCAGTGCGTCTCGGTTTGTCGCCAGTCTGATGCAAGGTCATGTCTAACACCAGCTGTAGGAATCCGCCCTAAGTCAAAACCATTCCCAATGTCCCTTTCTTCCCCTCCACCACTCGTGCAAGCTCTTTTGACGCATCCTCTAGTGTCCTAGCCCTGCGTGTCACCTCATAGGCTTCGATACAGTCACCCTGCTGCCACCCGTTAAAGCCATCCACACCCACACCGCACTCCAGCCCAGTTACCACCTCCGCCACATGCTCCTTCACCCGTCGAAGGGACGTCGCCTGTCCTGAATGCACCCAGCGACCCTCCAAATGTTGTTGCTTGCCTCCTGGTGCCGCCTCACTCGCCTTCTCCCTCTTCCCCTTCCCCACCTCGCCCTTCCTAGGACCACCAGCCATGCCACTGCCACTGCCATCAGCAGTAGCAGCACCGCCGCCTTTCCCCCCACCGCGCCGCACAACAACTGTGCATCCCTTTTGCAGCCTGCCCTCTGTCACCATCACCCCTGCCACCCGCGTGCTGCCGGTGCCGAAAACCGCCCGCACTTCTGCGCGACCCAGCAAGGAACTTTCCTGGAGGTTCCATAGGGAAATACGCATAACGTTATATGAGAAGTGGATTTTTGAAAAGTGAACACTGCAAAATGTCGGAGCAGAAAAAGTTCCCCAGCCACTATCGACTGCCAACAAACCTCTACAGTATTGAGCAGCCCCTCCATTAGTGTTCAATCCTCCTCCAACACATCGCATATCATCCGGTACAGCCTCACTTGCACACCCTATCCGCTGCAAATCCCACTAGTAGTGTACACATACATATACAATGTATGTGAAGTTACCGTTACGAAGTACGAACGTACCTTGACAGTATCGAGCAGCCCCTTCATAAGCGTCCGAACCTCCTCCACCACATTGTAGATCACCCGGTACGGCCTCACTTGCACGCCCCTATTATAATTATATACATATATATAAAGACACATGCATAAGTAGCGTACCTCTACAGTATCGAGAAGTCCCTCCATAAGTGTCCGAACCTCCTCCACCACATCATAGATCACCTGGTACGGCCTCACTTGCACACCCCTCTCCTCCGCTGCATTCCTCAGTACAGCGTGGATACATGTACATATATATTTTGTAATAATGACGCGTATGTAACGCACCTCTACAGTATCGAGCAGGCCCTCCATAAGTGTCCGAACCTCCTCCACCACATTGTAGATCACACGGTACGGCCTCACTTGCACGCCCCTCTCCTCCACTGCATTTCTTGGTGTGTACAATTATAACTATATATATACACACACATATGTATAAGCAGCGTACCTCTACAGTATCGAGCAGCCCCTCCATAAGCGTCCGAACCTCCTCCACCACATCGTAGATCACGCGGTACGGCCTCACTTGCACGCCCCTCTCCTCCGCTGCTGCCGCCACTGCTGCCGGCACGCCCACATTGAACGCCAAGACCACAGCTGAGCTGGACGCCGCGAGGTCAACATCGCTGCTTGACACGTCACCAGGGGCCTGGAAGAGGAGTAAGGGGAGGAAAGAGGTAGGGAGAGGAATGAAACCGGAGGTAGGGGGATGTTTAATAGCCAGTGTTTATTTATGGTCAAATGCTCTATAAGCCAGCTCCCAAGGGCCCCTATCGAGTGTTCAGCCTCTATTCTTCTCTCCTCCGCTGCTGCTGCCACTGCTGCCGGCATGCCCACATCAAACGCCAAGACCACTGCTGAGCTGGACGCCGAAAGGTCAACGTCGCTCCTTGACACGTCACCAGGGGCCTGGGAAGGGAGGAGTAACGGGAGGAAAGAGATCACGATGTTCAAATAACGAGTAACAAACGATTTGGTTGGGAATAGAATTTAACTACATATACTTATTTATACAAGATACAAACAAAAGGGTTCTCGCCAGTGTTTCCCGCATTCGAGTTAGTCACCTTATCCACCCACCTGCAGCAGGCAGCGCAGCGAGACGGCGTCTTGGGGCAGAGCTGCCAGGGCCTCTCTTACAGCCTCCACTACCCCCTGGCAATCTACCATGAGAATCCCCCAAACCTGACAGTTCCTTTATCGAACAATGACTTCACACCACACCCACCTGCAGCAGGAAGCGCAGCGAGACGGTGTCTCGAAGCAGAGCTGCCAGCGCCTCTTTGATTGCCTCCACTGACCCCTGGCCCTCCACCTTGAGAATCCCCCAACCTGACAGTTCCTTCATCGTGCAATGACTTCACACCACACCCACCTGCAGCAGGAAGCGCAAGGAGACGGCGTCTTGGGGCAGAGCAGCCAGGGCCTCTCGAATGGCTTCCACTGACCCTTGGCAGTCCACCTTTAGAATCACATTCACCACATGCACCTCCACCTCCTCCTTCTCCTCTCCTCCTCCCCCCCCTCCTGCTCCTCCTTTTGCTCCTCTAATCACCCCAGCACTGTTGAGAGCAGTCGCACTAGCAGCAGCAGCGCCACCAGCAGCACCAGAGGCAGCAGCACCAGAAGCAGCAGCAGCACCAACACCAGAACCAGAAGCACCAAAGGCAGTGGCGAAAGCAGAGAGCGTTACTTTCGCCTCTCCTTGTAACGCGGCCAGGCGAGCGGCCCGCGCCTTCGCAGCAGCTTCCTCTGCCAATGCCCTGGCAGTGTCGGTGCATGCAACCACGTGGAACTCATCACCCGCTATAGGCACGGATGAGAGACCGAGGACTTCCACTGCCATGGATGGGCCTGCTGCTCCTGTCTTGGTGCCAGTGTCGTCTATGAGAGCACGCACCTGGGAGGGAGGGATGAGGGGAGGGATGAGGGGAGGGATGAGGGGAGGGAAAGGAGGAAAAGGAGGGAGAAAGTGGACCAGGGGGGGAATGGAGGGAGGGAGGGAGGGAGGGAGGGAGGGAGGGAGGGAGGGGGGGGGAGGGAGGGAGGGAGGGAGGGAGGGAGGGAGGGGGGGGGAGGGAGGGAGGGAGGGAGGGAGGGAGGGAGGGAGGGAGGGGTAGGGGAGAGAGTGGAAGAGGGAGAACAGGGATGTAAGTAGATGTGCTTGCAGCAGTAAAGGTGTTGCGTATTCCCACTGTGCCAGTAGGCCTGGACTTGTTGGGAGTACTTGCATCCATTGCCCTTGCGGTGTCGGTGCATACATGCAAGTACCCCCAACACTTAGATTCCTACCGGCAGCACCCAGGAGAAACCCAAAACCTCTGACGGCTAATCTAAGACTTAGCAACCTCGGGGCTTTTATCCAAGTCACATACAAGAAAAAGGCACAAGAGAGAGGGGGGAAATGGCTACTCACCATCCCATCACCTCTCCTCATAGGTCTCCCCGCACACATCACCTCCCCTCATAGGCCTCTCCTCGGCGTGCCATTCTGTGCCCTTGGCTTTACCCAGTCCAAGGGGATAGGGTAAAGAGAGGGGACGAGATGACAGCTCACCTTTCCGTAGGCCTCCCCACACACCACCACACCACCACAACCACACCCCCCCTCCTCAGCGTTCCATTGTGCAGACTTGTGCGCTGTACTCAAACTGATTACACGTGCAATGGAGTTGCCTCACCTTGCCATAGGCCTCTCCACACGCACCACATCGCGTGTCCCCAGCGTGCCATTCTGCACCCTTTGCTTTGCCCAGTCCGAGGGGATTGGGTTAAGTGAGGGAACGAGACGGCACCTCACCTTGCCAAAGGCCTCTCCACACGCCACCACACCGCGTGTCCCCAGCGTGCCATTCTGCACCCTGATTACTTTGTGCAGACTTGTGCGCTGTACTCAAACTGATTACACGTGCAATGGAGTTGCCTCACTTTGCTTTGCCCAGTCCGAGCAGTCTTGGGAGAGAGGGCAAGAGGCGACTTTTGAGTCGACTCAAAAGTCACCTGGCTGGCTTCCAGTCAAAACATGGGCGATTTCTTTTGAGTCGAGAGGAAAAGATGGAAGATTCTCACCTTGCAATGGTGTTATCTCACCTTGCCGTATGCCTCTCCACACGCCACCACATCGCCCCTCCTCAGGGTCCCATTCTGCACTCTTGTGCGCCATAGCCAAACTGGTTACACATGCAAAGGAGTTGTCTCACCTTGCCGTATGCCTCTCCACACACCACCACATCGCCTCTCCCCAGCGTCCCTTGTGCTTGTCTACTACCCCATCACACCTCGCTTGTTCCCTCACCCTGCGCTCAGTTCAGCTTCCCCCCCAAGCTCACCTTGCCGTAGGCCTCCCCACACACCACCACATCGCCTCGCCTCAGCGTCCCATTCTGCACCAGCAGCGTGGCCAGCGGCCCCTTCTGCTTGTCCAGCCGGGCCTCTATCACCGTGCCCACAGCTGGTCGGTTGGGGTTCGCCCTTAGCTCCTGGATCTGCACCCAAGGAGGCAGAGAGGGAATCGAGGACTATACGTGAGGCACGTGCCATTCTGCACGAGCAGCGTAGTCAGCGGCCCCTTGAACTTGTCTAGCCTCGCCTCTATAACTATTCCCACTGCTGCCCGATTGGGGTTTGCCCGTAGCCCCACCTTAGCTCCTGCATCTGAAACCGTGGGCAAACAGAGAAGGTGGCAAGGGTTGGATGGAAGGTGGAGCATTCCCTTCTGAGCCTGTAACGTTGCCGGCATCTCTCTATCCTAGGTGCCTGCGGCACCTTGTGCTTGTGAGTCGACTCAAAATGACTTTTGAGTCGACTCAAAAGTCTATCCTAGGTGCCAGCGGCACCTTGTGCTTGTCCAGCCTCGCCTCTATCACCGTGATGAACTGGTGGAAGGTTGGGATTACCCCTTAGCTCTCCGATCTGCAAGCAGTGCAAGCGAAGGGTGCCGGTACCAGCGACAGGTGTCGGTACCAGCGACAGGTGTCGGTACAAGCGACAGGAGGTGGTACAAGCGACTGAGACAAGTGAAGCATTAAAGTGAACAAACCTCTTCCCACCCTTCTTCACCCCTCCTCACCCGTCTTCAACCCTCCTCGCCCCTCTCCACCGCTCTGAACCCCACCTCTGCCAGCAGCATGATTGTCTCCAGCAGCTGATCCACGCCCTCTCCTGTCTTGGCACTGACCTGCGAATAGCGGGGGGATTAAGGGCAAGAACACCAGGAGAAATCCGCGGGAAAAGGGTGGGAGTGGAGTTTTATGTTTCTTCTTTTCCTAAAAAAGAAAAACAACCAGAGAAAATGGTGAAAAATAGGGTTTAGGGAGGGTTTAGGGTGGAAGGAAGGGATTGGAATGAGTGTTTGTGTGTCTTACAACAAACAAATAGCATGAGTGTCCATGGCAGAATAGCATTTCACAACAAGAAGTTTGAACAACGCCCTGCTGCCATGCACTTACACCATGCCCCCTACAATCACGTTCCAACATATGCTATTCTCCCTCCCTCTATAGTCACTCACCGGCACCATGGGAGTATCCCCCCCCCATTCTTCTGGCAACACCCCGGCTTGCCCCAGCTGCTGCTTTACCCTCTCCACACTCGCTCCCTCGCGGTCTATCTGCAGGTTGGGAGACAACAGAGAAGGGAGGTTGGGTTAGGTGGAGGGGGAAGAGGATCAAAGAACCCCTTCACCCTCTCTACACTCGCTCCCTCTCGGTCAATCTGCGAATTGGGAGACAGAGAGGGGAGGACGCAGGCGGTGGAGAGAGGGGTGGGTGGACGGAGGAGTAAAAGGCACAGACCAATTGCAAGCCTTGCCCCAGCTGCTGCTTCACCCTCTCCACACTCGCTCCCTCGCGGACAATCTGCAGGGAAGGAAGGGTTAGAGGAGGCGGGGGGCGGAAAAAAAAGTGGGGTTTAAGGGGTTAGGGAGGGGATTAGAAGCTTTGCCCCAACTGCTGCTTCACCCTCTCCACACTCGCTCCCTCACGGTCTATCTGCAGGAAGGCAATGGGGGAATGAGGGGATTGTGAGAAACAGAACCAAATCAGTCAAAAGGAGTCATGAAGAAAGGGCCCGGGCCAATACCCTGAGACACAGACCTTTTGAGTCATGAAAAAGACCTTTTGAGTCATGAAAAAGACCTTTTGAGTCATGAAAAAGACCTTTTGAGTCATGAAAAAAGGACCAAGAATTGCGAGGTATTGCCCCGAGTCATTTTTTAGAATTCTCAAAAATACCTTTTGTTTTGCCCTTCTACAGATTTCAATGTTTGCAACAGAGCCGGACGAAGGGAACGCAACACTTACTGCCTCCACTACAGGCACACCGTGCTACAAGCACAGCGTGCTACAAGCACACCATGCTATAAGCACAGCGCGCTACAAGCACACCATGCTATAAGCACACCGTGGTACAAGCACATACTCGTAAGGGCACACACCTTGTTAATGGCAACCAGCATCGGCACACCAGCGGCACGGGCATGCGCAATCGCCTCTGTGGTCTGTGGCATGACCCCATCGTCCGCTGCCACCACCACCACTGCTATGTCGGTCACGCGAGCTCCCCTCGCACGCATTGCACTGAACGCCTGATGGTACACGGAGGGGGGGAGGGAGGGAGGGTGGGAGGGTGGGTGGAGGAAGGGGCGGCATGACCCCATCGTCTGCTGCCACCACACCACCACCACCACCACCACGACTGCTATGTCGGTCACGCGATTTCCCCTCGCACGCATCGCACTGAACGCCTGATGGTCCACGGAGGGGGGGAGGGAGGGAGGGAGGGAGGGAGGGAGGGAGGGAGGGAGGGAGGGAGGGAGGGAGGGAGGGAGAGAGGGAGGGAGGGAGGGAGGGAGGGGCGAGAGGAGGAATGGGAGGGGCGGCATGACCCCATCGTCTGCTGCCTGCCACCACCACCACCACCGCTGCTATGTCGGTCATCCTTGTGCCACAGGCACACAAGGCACTGAAGGCCTGCGTACAGGATGGACGGAGGCAGCGAAGGCGGGAGAAAGGGGAGATCACCCCGATGTGACTTTTTGAGTCGACTCAAGAGTCATGTCGTATCGTATGCCACCACCACCACCACCGCAACATAGGAGTCTAGTTTTGAGGCGCCTCAAAACTAGGAGGAGGGAGAAAGGGGAAATCACCCCGTTGTTGTCGTATCGTATGCCACCACCACCACAACAGCTATGTCGGTAACTAATGTACTCCTTGCACGTATCGCACTGAAATCCTGGGGGAAAAACAAGCGAGGAAGGGATGCACGAACAATCAATCATCAGCTGCCCCCACACCACCGCTAGCTACGGTCCAATGACATGCCATCACATCCCATCACATCACATCCCATGCCCATGGAAAGCCATGCCATCACAGCGAACAACACGTCATCTCCATGCCCTCACCTCATATCCCGATGTCGCAATTTCATACCAGCCAGCCATGCCATGCCATGCCATGCCATGCCATCCCATCACATCGCATTCCCATGCCATGCCAAACGCAACCAGCCCATGGCATGTCGTCTCTCCACCCCCTCACCTCGTGTCCCGGTGTGTCAAGAAAAACACACGTCTCGGCAGCAACCCTCTCTGCAAATGCTTTGCTGTCTGCTGCACCAGCAGCACCGTCGCCAGCGCCAGCAGCAGCACCATTAGCACTCCCCGCGGCAGAGGGCACGTGCACTCGGTACGCCCCAATGGCCTGAGTGATCCCCCCTGCCTCCCCTGCTGCCACCTGGTATGGGTCAGGGATTGGCAAAAAGGCTACAATGGTTATATTGGGTCATACAGGGCAGCATCGCTATGGTCACTACCAGCAGCAGCAGAGGGCAGATGCACTCGGTACGCGCCAATGGGCGGAGTGATCCCCCCTGCTTCCCCTGCTGCCACCTGGTATGGGTCAGGGATTGGCAAAAAGGCTACAATGGTTATATTGGGTCATACAGGGCAGCATCGCTATGGTCACTACCAGCAGCAGCAGAGGGCAGATGCACTCGGTACGCGCCAATGGCCGGAGTGATCCCCCCTGCTTCGCCTGCTGCCACCTGGTATGGGTCAGGGATTGGCAAAAAGGCTACAATGGTTATATTGGGTCATACAGGGCAGCATCGCTATGGTCACTACCAGCAGCAGCAGAGGGCAGATGCACTCGGTACGCGCCAATGGCCGGAGTGATCCCCCCTGCTTCGCCTGCTGCCACCTGGTACGGGTCAGGGATTGGCAAAAAGGCTACAATGGTTATATTGGGTCATACAGGGCAGCATCGCTATGGTCACTACCAGCAGCAGCAGAGGGCAGATGCACTCGGTACGCGCCAATGGCCGGAGTGATCCCCCCTGCTTCGCCTGCTGCCACCTGGTATGGGTCAGGGATTGGCAAAAAGGCTACAATGGTTATATTGGGTCATACAGGGCAGCATTGCTATGGTCACTACCAGCAGCAGCAGAGGGCAGATGCACTCGGTACGCGCCTATGGCCGGAGTGATCCCCCCTGCTTCCCCTGCTGCCACCTGGTATGGGTCAGGGATTGGCAGGGAGGTGGTATACAGGTACAGTATGAATCATGCGCAGTCATCACCAGTGCCAGCAGTGGGCACGTGCACTCTGTACGCCCCTATGGCTGAGTGACCCCCCCCGCCTCCCCTGCTGCCACCTGGAAGTGGGATAGGCATTGGCAGTGGTTGGTACAATCAAGGGTCATTGGATCATTCAGCGCTGCTAAAGGAAATGACTTTTGAGTCGAATCAAAAGGCATTGGCAGTGGTTGGTACAATCAAGGGTCATTGGATCCTTCACCACTACTAAAGGATTCGCACCACCACCAACACCAGCACCATTAGCAGCAGCAGCAGTACAGCAGCGGATGGCACATGCATTCGTACGCCGATGCCTCGAGCGAATTCCCCAGCCTCCCCTGATACTGTAGCATGCCACATGCTACTGTAGCAGGCACCTGATACTGTAGCAAAGCACCTGATACTGTAGCAGCTCACCTTTGTGTGCCGAACGTAGTCAAGAAGTGACGTCTGCATCACACACACACACACTCACTCACACACACACACACACACACACACTCACACACACACACACACACTCACACACACACACACACACTCACACACACACACACACACTCACACACACACACACACATACGCACACGCACGCACATACGCACGCACATACGCACGCACATGCACACGCACACGCACGCACATACAGCAAAGGAGTAATGAGGCACATACTTCACTCACGCAGTCAACAATAGCAGCTCCTAACACAAAGGAACCCTTCGTAGCTTCTTCAAAACTACCAAAACTTTCCTAAGCATCTCACCTTCCCATGCTCTCACCTTCCCACGCTCTCACCTTCCCATGCTCTCACCTTCCCATGCTCTCACCTTCCCATGCTCTCACCTTCCCACGCTCTCACCTTCCCACGCTCTCACCTTCCCACGCTCTCACCTTCCCACGCTCTCACCTTCCCACGCTCTCACCTTCCCACGCTCTCACCTTCCCATGCTCTCACCTTCCCATGGTCCACGTGGCCCATCACAGTAACCACCAGCGGCCGCACCACCAGATGCTCCCAATCCTCCTCCCCAATATTCCTTGACCTCCTGATTTCACAACTCACATTACTCAAGGCGTCTCAAGGCATCTCTGCCTTCCCATGCTCTCACCTTCCCATGCTCTCACCTTCCCATGCTCTCACCTTCCCATGGTCCACGTGGCCCATCACGGTCACGACCGGCGGCCGCACCACCAGATGCTCCCAATCCTCCTCCCCAACATTCCTTGACCTCCTGATTTCACAACTCACATTACTCAAGGCGTCTCAAGGCATCTCTGCCTTCCCATGCTCTCACCTTCCCATGGTCCACGTGGCCCATCACGGTCACGACCGGCGGCCGCACCACCAGATGCTCCTTATCCTCCTCCCCAACATTCCTTGACCTCCTAATTTCTCACCTCACATTACTCAAGGCGTCTCAAGGCATCTCTGCCTTCCCATGCTGTCACCTTCCCATGCTCTCACCTTTCCATGGTCCACGTGGCCCATCACGGTCACGACCGGCGGCCGCACCACCAGATGCTCCTTATCCTCCTCCCCAACGAACTCACGAACCTTCCTCGCCCGTTCCTCCACACCCCCCTCCTGAGGCCCCAGCACCTCCACCCCATACTCCCCACAAACCACGCCCACCATATCCTCGTCAAGAACCTGATTCACGTTCGTTATAACGCCTCTCATGAACAGTGCACGGACGATATCTCCTTCCCCTACTGCCAACAGCCCCGCTAGTTCTTTAACCGCCATCCCTGCCCTCCCCACTTCGACTATCTCGGCTCGTGTCGGTGCGGCTGCTTTGGCTGCTTCTTCTCTTGCTGCTCTCCTCTCGGTCTTGCTCGTCCGCCTATGCTCCCTCTTCTCTGCTCCCGATATACCCGTTTTAGACCTAGCTACTTTCGCACCAGCCGATTTAGAAAGGCCTGGTCTCGAAGCAGCGGCTTTGGAAAAGGCGGATCTTGGAATAGTGGCAGCAGCAGCAGCAGCAGCTGCTGCTTCTTCTCTCGCTCTCCCTCCTCTCCCTCCTGTCCCTGCTGCTCCTGCTACTCCTCCTATCTTCCTCCTCATCTCTTCACCTCTCCCCACTCCTTCCCCCACTCCTTCCCCCACTCCCACCCATTCCGGCCGTCTCACCTCCTCCCCGGCTCTCACCCGTGCCTCCACCGAACCTCCTGTAACCCTTCCTGTGCCCAAAACGGAATGTGTTACCGCATTGGGTTCCTTCTGTGAAACCCCCGCATCCACACTACTTCCTCTCCGCCCCCCCTCCTCTTTCCCTCCCTCAACTTCTCCCCCTGCTCCCTCCCCTTCCCCTTCCCCTTCCAGTTTCCACACTCCCCCTTCCTTCCTCCACCTCCTCCTCCCGGCCATCACCATTCCCCCCCTCTCTCCCTCTGCCCTTCTTTCATTCCCCCTTTTTTCCCCTTGCTCCTCTCCCTCTCCCACCCCTCCTCCTCCTCCTCTCTCCATTTCTTTCCTTCCCATATCTGCCACGTGGCCTTCACTACAAGCACCCCCTGCAGGCTGAACGTGCACTGGACTATAGGCACTTCCCCTCGCCTGAGCTCCTGCTTCGTTATAAACACGTTCTGTATAGGCATCCTCCTTGACTGTACCTAGCGGTCTGAAGATCCGAACAGGTCCGGCAGACAGAACCCCAGCAGCAGAAGATCCCCGAGCCTCGCCCGAACCAGTTCTGGGCCTCACAGGCTTGGGCCGAGCCTGCAGCACAGGCACGTCCTCGGATTGGCCAACCAGGGTGTTGCTGATTTGCCGAACCTCCGATTCAGGCTCGGGTCCAGCGAGGCTCGGTGGCTCAGGTTTGGGAAGTGTTGCTGCTGCTGTGTCCGTGCTAGGTTCGAAAGGCAACGCAGGAGATTCAACAGCAGCAGTGGGAGCAGGCGGGACAGCAGCAGCAGCAGCAGTTTCAGCCCCGGAAGGAGAGGCAAGAGGAGCAGCAACAGGAGCAGGAGAGGGGAAAGGAGCGGAAACAGGAGGGGGAGAGGGAAAAGGCGCAGCAGCAGCAGCAGCAGCAGGAGGAGGAGCAAGAGGCTTACGAGGAGGCACAGCAGAAGCTACATCAGCAGGCACTGCAGACACAGCGACAGGGGGCGCCATTGAAGAGGCTCTAGCAGCAGCAGCGGCTTTGGCAGCAGCAGCAGCAGCGGCAGCAGGCACAAAAGCAACAGCCACGGAGGTCTTGTGCATGTGCGGCTGGGCCCAAGGACGAGCCCCTGATTCACCCCAGCGCCCCTCGACTTGCGCACTTGGTAAAACCGGCTTGCGAGCCAAGGAAGGTTTGGCTTGGAGGGAGGGGAGGGAGGAGCCGAGTTGAATGGGCAGGGGCACACCCACGTGCACCCGTTGCACTGCAGTGGATGACTCACCCTCACCCTCGCCTTCGTCCGCCTTGTGAGGGAGAGGGCGATGGTGAGTCACAGGTGCTAAACCATCCTGCTTTTCTGTATCCTCCTCTTCTGTCTCCTCTGCTGTCTCCTCTGCTGTCTCCCCCTCTGATGCTCTTTCCGCCTCTGCCTTCTCCACTTCTCGGGCATCCATTGCCCGAAATTCCCTGAAAACGATAGACGCCTCTTGTACCTCGTGTGTCTCTTGTGCCTCCAGTGCTATTGTAGCCGACGGTTGAAGGATCTCCTGGTGTGCTGCTGCTGCTGCTGTCGCTGGCTTATCCTCTGCCACGCGGAGATTCTGCTTCTGCTGCTCCTGCAACTTCTCCTCCTCCTCCTTATGCTGCTGCTGCTGTTGCTGCTGCTGCTGCTGCTGCTGCTGCTGCTGCTGCTGGTTCAAATGTGCGGACGTAGCCGCCAGGCTATGATCCGAATCAAAGACCGGAGCAGAGGCACCTAGGTCAGATACAGAAACAGCTGTATCTGCGGCAGGAGCAGGAACAGGAGAAGCCGGGGGAACAGGGACAGAAACCTCGGAAGCAGGAGCAGGAGGAGCAGCAGGAGCAGCAGGAGCAGGAGGAGCAGCAGGAGCAGCAGGTGGGAAGTGAAGCCGAACGGGAGATTCACGAGGAGGCACAGGGACAGACTTCGGCACAGCTGCTGATGGTGCTGCTGCCGGCACTGCTGGTGGCATTGCTGCTAGTGCTGCTGCGGGGGGTGAGACTGCTGCTGATTCAGCTACCTCCCTTTTTTTCACCTCGTTGTTATCACCCCCGAACGAGTCAATCAACTCATCCATCACACTCCTACCCCCCCGCACGCCCATAGAACTCTCCCTTCCCCTCCTCCCCACCCCGTCCTTCTCCCCCTCCCCCTCCCCCACCCTAAACTCCACTGCCCCCCTAAAACCCTCACCCGCCTTAAACCCCAAACCCTGACCCCCGCGCATCTCCTCCTCCCTGCGCCCTGCTTCCGCCAGCATGTCCCTCAGAATCCGCAGCGCCTCCGCCTTCTGCCCCGCGGAAGCGGGGGGGCGGGGGGAAACACGGGGGCGGGGGGACACAGGGGGGTGGGGGAAAGCAACGGAGAGAGGGGGAGCGGCACGCCCTCCCGTTGTGCTGTTGGTGCCAGGGGTCCCAGGGATCCCGGAATTGACAATCCTGCTGCGCCTGCTGCTGCTGATGCCCCTGCTGCTGACGCCCCTCCGCGTGTATGTGCTGCTGCTGTTGGTACTACCGCCACCACTGCGGCGGCTGCCGTAAAACCCTGACCCCTCGTCGCCCCTATCCGCCCAGTCACTCTCCGCCGATCCATCGTTCGGCCCCGAAGGCCGCCTAACTCTCTGCGGCGACAGCTCGCGCGCTTGGAACGGCTTGTAAACCGACGCGAAGTTAGACGGGCGGGGGTTTACTACGGAACTTGGATTTGGACGGCGTAAGGGGCGGGCAGGGTTTAAGAGGGGCGAATTTCGAACCACCGGTTTTTCCAGCTGCATGTTAAAAACCCTTGAAGCGGGAATCCCCACTCTGGCCCGCGACGACGTTCCTTCGGGCAGCGGAATGAAATCTCCGCTGCCCGAGGTGCTGCTGCTGCCGTTCTCCTCGCCACGGGCAGTCAGGTCGAAAGTTTCTGGGCTGCTGACCGGCCCTGACGTGGCAATCGCGTCGTTGGCGGCAAAAGTATGCCTGCTCGACGGAAACTCGACCAACTGCTGACTGGACCCTTGACATGGCGATGCTGACGTCAGCTTGGAGAGGAGGGGCTGGGGCGAGACAGATCTGTTTGCAGCACTCCGATTGGCTGACCCGTAGGATCCGCCAGGGGGGAAGGACGATGCTGACGTGGCACGCACGGACAGACGAAGATGCGCGAATCGCTGGTGAGATCCCTTCGAAACGCCCTTGGATCCCACTTCCAAGGGCTTTACACTCACGGCATTGGGGGAATTGCGAAGATTACCCAGGGAATGCTCTTGCAAGGCCTTGAGGGTCGAGAGCGAGGAGAGGCGGGATGCGGAGTCCGCGTGCGCGTGCCCGCACGGGCGGAAAGTTTCGGCGGGAGCGGAGAAAGCGGCGGAAGCGGAGAGGGCGGCGGAAGCCATAGTCGCGCAGACTCAACGAGAGCTCCTGAGGCGCCGCCTCAAGAGCCGTGACGCGCCAAGAGACTTGGTATCTGTGCCAAGAGACTTGAGATCTGTGCCAAGAGACTCGAGATCTTGAGTCCCGGAGACCTGAAACTTGGGACTTGGATTTTTCACTGTGAACTCGCGCCAAGCTTGGCTTATCGGGATTGCCGCGAGTCGGAAAGCTGATGCCTCTGGTGCCTGATACTGGCTCTTTTTTGGAAGCGTAGCCCCTGGCTTGTTCTCCTTGAGCGCCGTAGAGCGGGCCCCGCGAATTTGAAGTCACAGCTGGCGGATCGGGTTTTAAGGCGCCTCAAAAATCGTAGTCTCTGGCTTGTTCTCTTTGAGCGCCGTAGGGCGGGCCCAGCGGATTTGAGATCACAGCTGGCGGATCGGCTGACAGGAGAATCGTCGCAAGAAGCAGGCGGACCCAGGAGACAGACGGATCGTCGCAGGAGACAGGCGGATCGTCGCAAGCACGGTATGATCGATCCAGCCACAGAGCTCCGAACGCGCACTCTATAGCAACTGATTCATAAGCGCTTGATGGCGCTTTGAGATGGCTGATCCGCAGCAGCTAAATCACGATAGCAGCTGAACTTCAAGATGCCTAAATCTCAACAACGGAAGTGTTGGCTTCTTAGAATTCTCAATACCAACCAATCGCACGCACCAGAGATTGCACTACGGTCGATTGCTAGCCAGAGATGTAAGGGCTCCTCAATAGAAAGGGAGAAGCACGCATCAAGAAAGAAACATGGAGGAGACAAGACAAGACAACTCTGTTTGGTTGCGGCGAGTTATGAGAGGAAGGCGGTTTCAAGCTTTGCCTTGGTGATAGGTGAAAGCCTAGGAGGAAAAGGCAGAAATTGCGCGCTAAAGGCGATCGCGACAGGGAAAAAGCAGTGAAGCACCAGCCCCAGCGCCATAGCAAATTGGTCCGGCTCGGTCAGGACCGAGCCAAGATAGCGGCTTTGCTTCCAAAGCGAAGTAGAACCTGCAATCTGAATGGCTAAGTGTGTCTGGTTACCCTGACGAAGCTTGTCGCCGCAAGGTCTGGTTTAAGCTCGGAGTCGCACAATCACACCTCCAGACTGGACAAATTTGCCCGAACGGCGGCAGCGTGGCAACATTGCCTTGCGTGGCGGAGTTCATTGCTGGCGTGGAAGGGTTCCAGTGGTTCCTCAACGGGCTTCGCACCGCTGGGGACGACAGCGCACGAAAACGTCGCAATCTTTGATTGCCTTCGTGAAGTGAAAGGGATCAAGCGTCGCAAATCAACCAGCTTGTCTGGGTCAATTGGATCAGGCTGCTTGTGTCAGCATGGTGGATAGTGACGTGGTGATGACACCAACAATTTCGAGGATCTGTACGCGCTATACGCGGAGTTAACGGGGACTAAAAGGTGTGAACCTTTAGCCCACACAATCAAATCGTTAGCTGCAAAATTACATTTCTAACATACTAGCCTACCTACTGCTACCACTAAATGCACCCTGCACTAATTTGGGTATCTGTCAGCTGCTAAGTACACTATTCTCCTGGTGGTGGGGTGCGCACCCATCCTCCTACCTCATTCTTCTCCAACACGAGCAACCCCACCTGGCTCTCCAGCATAATGCAAGAAGGCATATTGTGAGACTCTGCAATCCGGGGCTACAACGGACGACGATATGTAGTCCTCTGCCCGGCCTTCTAATGGGAATAACTCTCTATAACCATCGTCATACGCACTTGTCCTACCAATGCCTCCACTGTCCACATCATTGTTTTGTTCGCTGGTGCTCCTGAAACTGCTGCCTTCACCTCTTTGACTTTCGAACCCATTTGCCGCAGCATCTGCATCAGACGCACTGCTAGCCGCCCACTCATCTGGTGACACATCAGCAGCTACTGATTGGGCGCGTGTCATGAGGTTCGCCAGGATGGCGTAGTTGAGGTCGTGATTTGACCTGGGCATGGGGGGACGGAGCAGGGGAGGGAATTGGGAGCGGGTGAGAGAGTGGGTACAGCAAGAGTCAAGCACGAGTCAAGCATGAGATTGGCCAGGATGGCGTGGTTGAGGTCGTGATTGGACCTAGGTACCAAGTGAGTCGTACAGAGGATGGCGGGGGAGGCAGGGGGGGGGGGAGGTTGTGAAGGATGTGTATGACTGTTCCAGCACGCCATACACACTGGATGAACACCGGATTCTCCTTTAAGGAATGCTCTCACCCGACCTGCCCCTCGCTCCCCCTTCCCCCCTCCAACCTAACCCTTCGTCTCTGTACGCCTGCCCCAGCACGCCAGGGTTTGCATACCTACCACTCTTCTCTTCCCCCCACCCCTCCACTCACCCTTCATCTCTATACGCCTGTCCCAGCACACCATCCACGCTGGGCGAGAATCGGATACTCCCGAGGTCCAGCATCTGGTGCACTTCAGCGTCATCCTCCTCCTGCAGTAAGGGATGGGCTGGTCTCAGCCGCACCTCTGCCTGGAAATAGGAATAAGAATAAAAGGAATAGGTGGGTTATGAAGAGGGGATAATATTTCTGAGTCGACTCAAAAATCAGATGGGTTATGAAGAGAGGATAATATTTTTGAGTCAACTCAAAAATCAGATGGGTTATGAAGAGGGATGATATCAGTGCTCCAGCATCAATGCTCCCCCGAGGTCCAGCATCAGGTGCACCTCAGCATCTTTCTCCTCCTGCAGGAGAGGGTGCGCACTCTTCTCAGCCGGATTTCTGCCTGGAGGGCGATATGGCTGAGAAAGTAGCGAGAAGAAAGTGTATTTCAGCACCGGGATACTCCCAAGGTCCAGCATCAGGTGCACCTTAGCGTCATCCTCCTCCTGCAGTAGAGGGTGCGCTGGTCTCAGCCGCACCTCCGTCAGGAAATGGGGTTGCATGTGATTATAAGGAGGGGATAATATCCGTGCTTTCAAAGACCAGCATATCTGCTCCATGTCTACCCCCCCAATATCAACCTGCTCCAAGCGTACCTACCTCAATCAACCCTGCCAGCTTCACAGGATAGACGTGGACATCAGAGTTGCCGCTCCTCTCCTGCTGTACACTCCCTGTTCCCTCTGCTCCAAGTCTCCCCCCCCTGTATCAGCCTGCACCAAGTGTAGCTACCTCCAGCAGCCCTGCCAGCCTGACTGAATACATGTCGACGTCATAGTTGCCGCTCCTCTCCGCTTGCTTCAGATCCACCGTCCCCAGATTGACCTGCTCCATATGTACCTACCTCTAGCAGCCCAGACAGCTTGACGGAATAGACGTTCACGGCATAGTTGCCGCTCCTCTCCTGCCTGGCATAGCTCACTGTTCCCTCTGCATCAGAACCACCTCCCCCAGGTGCAGATCAGCCTGCACCAGGTGTACCTACCTCTAGCAGCCCTGCCAGCCTGACTGAATACACATCCACGTCATAGTTGCCGCTCCTCTCTTGCCGCGTGTAGCTCACTGTTCCTTCCCCGTCGAATAGACTCAACTCGTCACCCACCTGTGGAGGGGGAGAGAAGGAGGGGGGGTGGGGGGGAATGCGCGGGGAGGGGAATGAGCGGGGGGGGGGGGAATGAGCGGGGGGGAAGAGGGAGGGATAACGGGATTATTGCTGCTGGAAGTGTATCCTAGTAGGGAGGGGGTTGCTGGTGGAAGTGTATCCTAGCAGGGAGGGGGTTGCTGGTGGAAGTGTATCCTAGCAGGGAGGGGGTTGCTGGTGGAAGTGTATCCTAGTAGGGAGGGGGTTGCTGGTGGAAGTGTATCCTAGCAGGGAGGGGGTTGCTGGTGGAAGTGTATCCTAGCAGGGAGGGGGTTGCTGGTGGAAGTGTATCCTAGCAGGGAGGGGGTTGCTGGTGGAAGTGTATCCTAGCAGGGAGGGGGTTGCTGGTGGAAGTGTATCCTAGCAGGGAGGGGGTTGCTGGTGGAAGTGTATCCTAGCAGGGAGGGGGTTGCTGGTGGAAGTGTATCCTAGTAGGGAGGGGGTTGCTGGTGGAAGTGTATCCTAGCAGGGAGGGGGTTGCTGGTGGAAGTGTATCCTAGCAGGGAGGGGGTTGCTGGTGGAAGTGTATCCTAGCAGGGAGGGGGTTGCTGGTGGAAGTGTATCCTAGTAGGGAGGGGGTTGCTGGTGGAAGTGTATCCTAGCAGGGAGGGGGTTGCTGGTGGAAGTGTATCCTAGCAGGGAGGGGGTTGCTGGTGGAAGTGTATCCTAGTAGGGAGGGGGTTGCTGGTGGAAGTGTATCCTAGCAGGGAGGGGGTTGCTGGTGGAAGTGTATCCTAGCAGGGAGGGGGTTGCTGGTGGAAGTGTATCCTAGCAGGGAGGGGGTTGCTGGTGGAAGTGTATCCTAGCAGGGAGGGGGTTGCTGGTGGAAGTGTATCCTAGCAGGGAGGGGGTTGCTGGTGGAAGTGTATCCTAGCAGGGAGGGGGTTGCTGGTGGAAGTGTATCCTAGTAGGGAGGGGGTTGCTGGTGGAAGTGTATCCTAGCAGGGAGGGGGTTGCTGGTGGAAGTGTATCCTAGCAGGGAGGGGGTTGCTGGTGGAAGTGTATCCTAGCAGGGAGGGGGTTGCTGGTGGAAGTGTATCCTAGCAGGGAGGGGGTTGCTGGTGGAAGTGTATCCTAGCAGGGAGGGGGTTGCTGGTGGAAGTGTATCCTAGCAGGGAGGGGGTTGCTGGTGGAAGTGTATCCTAGCAGGGAGGGGGTTGCTGGTGGAAGTGTATCCTAGCAGGGAGGGGGTTGCTGGTGGAAGTGTATACCAACTGAGGAGGAGGGAGAGAGTCAGCAGGTGGGAGGGGGTTGCGAGGGTGGGGGAATTACACAGAGAGAATAACACCATGTATACTACACTACCGTCTACAGTACACTACCGTGTACAGTACACTCACCCCCAGTCGTGGAACGGTTATCTCATTCACCTCGATTCTGCCCATGAATCCGTCGCCAGCTCCCGCAGAGTGTGCAGTACACTGGTGCACAATCTGATAAAATAATATAGGAAAACACTACATTAACGCGAATACAGTACACTCACCCCCAGCCTCGGAACAGTTATCCCGTCCACCTCGATTCTGCCCATAAATCCGTCGCCGCGCTCCTGCTTCGCGCCTCGCCTTGCTACTAGCCGCAGCGAGTGCTGCGAGCTGGCGGCTCCGCTATTGGACCACCAAACGAACCCAAGCTCCCTGATTGGTGGGAACGAAGGTATGTGACGAGAATGAGGGGTTCATTACAGGAACGAAAAGGTTATTCACCTTAGATTCCGAAGACTGGTCCTTCTAAGCCTCTTAAAATAAAAATAAAAATCCCCAGGTAAGGTGATCTCACCTGATCCATGTGCGCACTTTAGCGCCGGCCACCAGCGCGGCCATTATATCGGAGCGGTTGTTATCGAGGTACCCCGTGAGGCGCATGTTGATGTGGAGGCGGGAGTCCGACACGAGGCAGAAGGACGTCGGGCGCAGCTGCGTGTACGGGCGCGCGGGGGGGGCGGACTCCGCTGCATAGGAAGGGAAGAGAGGGGATGGTATGGGGGGAGGAAGCGGGGGAGGTTGAGGGACATGGGCGGAAATTGGACACGAGGTAGAAGGAGGTCGGGCGCAGCTGCGTGTACGGACGCGCAGGGGGGGCGGACTCCGCTGCATAGGAAGGGAAGAGAGGGGATGGTATGGGGGGAGGAAGCGGGGGAGGTTGAGGGACATGGGCGGAAATTGGACACGAGGTAGAAGGAGGTCGGGCGCAGCTGCGTGTACGGGCGCGCAGGGGGGGCGGACTCCGCTGCATAGGAAGGAGGTTGAGGGACATGGGCGGAAATTGGACACGAGGTAGAAGGAGGTCGGGCGCAGCTGCGTGTACGGGCGCGCAGGGGGGGCGGACTCCGCTGCATAGGAAGGGAAGAGAGGGGATGGTATGGGGGGAGGAAGCGGGGGAGGTTGAGGGACATGGGCGGGAATTGGACACGAGGTAGAAGGAGGTCGGGCGCAGCTGCGTGTGCGGACGCGCAGGGAGGGCGGATTCCGCTGCATGGGGGGAGGGAGATGGGGACGAGGTGGCTTTTGAGTCGACTCAAAAGATGCGGACGGGGGACAAAGGTCAGGGGATTCCGCAGGGGGCGGATTCCGCAGGGGGGCGGATTCCGCAGGGGGGCGGATTCCGCTGCACGGGGGGAGGGAGATGGGGACGGGGGACAGATGTCAGGGGATGGCGCAGGCGGGAATCCGACGCAGCTGCTGAACGTCGGGCGCAGGACGTCGGGCGCAACTGCTGGTAGGGGCGCGCAGGGAGGGGGGGAGGGGAAGAAAGGGGGCATAGGTCAGGGGATGGTGCAGGCGGGATTTCCGACACGAGGCAGAAGGTCGTCGGGCGCAGCCTGCGGGTACGGACGCGCAGGGGGCAGCGGATTCCGCTGCAAGGGGGAGGAGTTTGGGGTGGGGAGGGGGGTTTGAGAACACAGTGCGTGTGAGGGTAAGGGGGAAGGGGGAAGGGGGAAGGGGAGACAATGTGTGCAGGCAGGAATCAGAGACGAGGCAGAAGGAGGTCGGGCGCAGCTGCTGATACCTTGTTTCCCGTTATAAGCCCTCTCACGTTGATATCTGTACGCCTGCTACCCTTTATAAGCCGTTTCGCCTTGGTATTTCCACCCTGTTTCCCGTTACAAGCCCTCTCACCTTGATATCAGTACACAGTTTACCTTGTTATCTGCGCCTCGACTCCCGTTATAAGCCGTCTCACCTTGATATCTGTACTCTTGCTGCCCGTGCCAGCTGCATCGACCGCCCACACTGCCAAGGGGTAAACAGAATCCCGTATCAAGAGAAACACATAAAAGGGAGAAGGGAAGCTCAGGAGAGGAAGACCGAAACGAGGAGGAGATGCGAGTAGGGAGAGAGTGAACGTCGCTTTCAGCCATTAAAGACACGAAGCGACGGTTAGGGAGGTAGTGACAGATTCAAAAGCCAGGAAAATCACTTCGCCTTTGATTTCGTTTTGCGTTCCTCGGGAGGCGAGTCGGGAGGAGACAACCAACGAGTTGTAGGTGAGTTTGGAGAATTCTAAGAAATCACCTACAACTCGGAGACAGCCAACGATCCATCGAGGCAGAATCGCCAAGAGTTGCTGCTACAGCGAAGAAGCGTCCGCCATGGTTTTACTACGGTGTTAACTTGCTCCAGATGCAAGACTGGTTCTTACTATGAATCGGGCTCTCTGGGCGAGTAGACGTTGCTTATTCCGTTATTTGCGGCGCAAACCCCGCTGGTGTACAGGTAGCAAACGCCGGAAGTTGCGAGGAAGTTCCAGTAGCTGCACTGCGGCTGCTGGCGACACATGTGGCAGCAGTCCGCAGGCGAGGCACGTCGCCCGAGTCGCAGACCGTCGCGCGCGGATCGCACGCGAAATTGCGCGACGTCGCTGCGACTGTTTGCGAACGCGCCCTTGAAGACGTAGCGGCCGCAAGTCGTGGCGCCGCATGCGGCCTTCGCGCCGACGAAAGCGGGACAAGAGCCGGCAGATGCGGAGGGAAGGAGTGCGGTTAGGATGAGAGCGATAACTACAAGAGGAAGCGCGTTCGAACTGTGGGACATGGCTTCTCTGTATAAACTAGTTGACAATCTGGCCGTTGGATTCTGAGAGCTGTATCGAGCATGGGGCTCTAGTATAGCCAGTTGGGAACGCCGTTGAGTTCTGAGTGCCATGTTGCGGTAATAATTTCGTTAAGGCACAGGTCTAGACCTGCAGGCGTTTCCACTTAGTTAGCAGCCGAGTTGCTGCGAGTATTGAAGACGAGCATGTATACAGGTTGCAGACGAGTCGCCTGTTCGAGAACTTCTGCTGTCTGCGGACGTCTAGGGTCAATTGCTCTAATAATGTCGTCTGCTACGCTACAGCAGGGCTTGAACAGGCCTGAGTGGTGAGAGAAGAGAGGTCATGCGTCTCCGCTCATCTCTTCCTAGCATCCGACAGTTCTTTCTCCTGGATCAAGCGATCCAAAAAGCAGCTCACAGCCAAGTGGGGTAGCCAAGTCCGCAGGAACATGGGCTAGGAAGAGCCGAGCAGCAATGAAATGGCCAGAGCAGTAAGGAAATGGCCAGGAACGTTTGCAGGAGTAATGGCCACTGTGCGTTCAGATCAGAGTGGGTGGGAGCGTTTGCAAGGAACGGGAGAGCTGGGGGAGGGAGCAGAAATGTTGAAATTGAAGTGTGCGGCACAAAAATTGAAAAGCTAGGGCAACGCGGCGCGGCGCTCGCAATGTCAAAATTCTGCGCGCCCCGTCTGGTCAGAGCAGCCTCCTCGTTCTCGAAATAAATTTGTGCGACGCGGGCGACTGTGTGCTGCCCCTGACAGGTTGGCACGGCGACTGTTGCAGTCCGAGTGAGCGCAGTCGCGGAGGGTGGAATTGCTTTTCGCGCAACCTCGCGGGTGCGACTGCTTGGCGAAAGCTTACCCTTTTCGAGAGGTTTCCGCGCGAAACATTGTACACGAGTAGTTCGATTTTTAGGCATTGCGTTTCCTCTGTCAAGAGCAAGGTCTCCTTTCGATAAATTTCCATAATCACACACTAGTATAAACATCTCGTAAAACCTCTACACTTAACTCTCCTCTCACCTCCCCCATCACTACGTGTTCTCCCCTACCGCGCCTTCCGCCTCCACCCCGCCTTCCCCCCGATAATCCGTGTATACTCCTCCTGCCTCTCACAAGCTCCCCCTTTCTTTCTCCGCCTTTCTCCCCCACCCCCCCTTCCACCTGCTCCTCGAGTTCCTCCCTCGTCCCCTCAAACCCTAAAAGTTAAACCTACTTTAGTTTACTCTTTCCTTTCCCTTCCCCTTTTCTCGCTCGTCTCCCCGCCTGAGCTCCGCAACCATGAAGGTGAGCCGCGTTTAGGGTTCCTAACTCCATCGCCGAACTTGACTCCTTCGCTATACTACAGCGGCCCAGCCTGTACTGCCTCCATAGGCCGTCGCTAGCGAGTTAGTGGTGTTGTATGGAACAGCTGCAGCATGTTCACCTGGCCTGACGCGTCTGGTCGTCCCTCGCCGTGCCCCACCCGCCATCCACCGCATCGCTGTGCTTTACGTCGACTCAGAGCGCGCCCTTGCCCTTTTACCCTACTCCTCGCGCCTCGTGTCTTTCTTCCTCCTCCTTCGCTCAACTCCACCAATCACTCGTCACCATGCCAACGACTTCCTTAACAAACCCTGTTTCGTTCACGTGCTGTGTTTCCCTCGCCCGCAGCTCAACATTGCCAACCCCACGACGGGGTGCCAGAAGAAGGTCGAAATCGATGACGATCTCAAGCTGTAAGTCCTCTGACGATGCCGAAGTTTTCTGGTGGTTTCAGGCTGTTCAGAAACGGATCTTAAGGTGCACGGGGAGAATGCGTTAATCTCCGATGGTAGCTTCGTCCCCCATCTTCGTTCCTGGCCAACAGCGGCACGGGAAAAGCAGCTAGATGCCGTTCTTGGGCTTCGCCTACTGGTCGTTAAGACGGAGGCATCGTTGTAGGTTAAACGTAGGCTTAGCCGTCGATAGGTCGATTTTAGCTGGGATCCAGGTTCACGATTTCCAGGTTCAGAAATCGTGGACTGACGGCTATCCGTTTAATTGATGGGGCTGCTTGATAAGCCGGAGGAGTGTCGTGACTGCAACATTGATGGGATTGACTGCGATCACTGTAGAGAGGTGGATGACTGGAACGGTGTATAAATCGGCTGGGGCAAACGACTTTCGCTGACGAAGCTGAGAAAAATCAGTGGTGCTGGGAAACGCGAGTGGATCAGAGTCACGTGTTACGGTACGGATCGCTCAGGGTTTTGAGTCGACTCAAAACGAAACTACTATCACTCGGTGGGAATCGCGAGACGCCTAGTGGAACGGAGTCGCGTGTGACGGAGTCGCGTGTTACGGCACGGATCGTTCAGGGTGCGGCAGCGCGTGAAACTCGCGCGTGGGTTTCGAGGATCTCTAAGTGAAAACTTGAGGTTGAGCTGGTGCAGGACTTGTAATTTCGGCGCCATTTCGTAGAAGCTACTAGGACTCGTAGTGTTTGGACTTCGAGCCAACAGCAGCTTCTGCTCAGGCTTCTGTTGCGAGGAGAGGATAGGTCCGCTGAATCGACTCATATCTCTTTTCGGCGTCGGAATTGGACGCGTCTTGCGGACTGCATTGGAAAGCCACGTAGCTCGTGAATATTTTCCAAGTTAATGCGAAGCAGTCTACAACGGTACGCCTGAGGCGTGTGAGACCCGCAGGTCAGCGGGGTACGGGTGATCACACACTTCCGGAGAATCTGCGAGTATTCAGGGTTCGATTACGCCGTAGAGGGGTTTATCTGTGATTTCCAGAATCTGACTGCACACCCCTCACTCCCCCCATTCACCTTTTTTTTGCCACTTGTTTATATTGTGTCGTTCCACGTGTCGTGCAGGCGTGCGTTCTTCGACAAGAGAATCTCTCAGGAGGTCAGCGGCGATACCCTTGGCGACGTAAGTGGTTCCTCGTTTTAAGTTCCCTGGCTTATATTTTCGGGGGGAGACAGGTTGTACGATACTACCTAATTTTTCCAACTCGGTTTGGATCTTTATTCTACTGAATTTCCCCGTTTACTCAACACGGCGACAGGGGCTCAAGGGGTACGTCGTGGTTGTGCATGGTGTTTCGCGTGAAATCTATTGAACAGGGTGTTTGTTTAGAATTCTAATAAATACTCCTCACCGTCGCACCAGGAGTTCAAGGGGTGTGTCATTAGGAGATGTAGGAAGGATGCTCTCGAGCCGACTCAAAAGCATTAGTCGGCTCACTAGTCATTAGGAGAGGGGTGTGTCATTAGTCTTTCCCCCCCCTCTCCCTTCTGATCACCATCGCATCTGGACTTCAAGGGATGCGTTTTGAGCAGCAAGGGAGGGTGCGACAAGGTCGGTTTTCCCGTGAAGCAAGGCGTTGATCCGTGCTCATGCCCTCTTTGCTCCCCCATTCCCCCCTCTCCCCACTTTCCCCTACCCTCCATCGCAACAGGAGTTCAAGGGGTACGTCTTCAAGATCAAGGGAGGGTGCGACAAGGAAGGTTTCCCCATGAAGCAAGGTGTTCTCACACCTGGCCGCGTCCAAATCCTCATGCACAGGGGTAAGTTAGGGTTTCAACCCACGCCCAGGAGGGTTTCTCCAGCATTTATTATGTTGTTGCTTTTCCATGAAGCAAGGTGTTCCCACACTTCGCCGCGTCCAAATCCTCATGCACAGGGGTAAGTCCGGATGCTACCCCCCCCCCCCCCCCCCCCCCCTTTTTGGGGTAATTCCAGTTCTTCGACCCTGTCGCCTTATAATCGTCACAGCGTCTCCTTTGGGCCAAACTTGATCATTTGAACCATCCGCCCCCCCCCCCCTTTATTCCCCCCACTCTTCCCCCTCTCTCTCCCTCTTTCTCCCTTCCCCTTCTTCCCCGGCCCCCTCCCCCTCCGGGCTTCCCCCTGCAGGCACCCCTTGCTTCCGCGGCTACGGCCGGCGCAACGGCGAGCGCCGCAGAAAGTCGGTGCGCGGGTGCATTGTGAGCCAGGACCTTTCCGTGCTGAACCTGGTCATCGTCAAGCAGGGTAAGTTGTTGCACGCCCTCTTAAGGCTGGGGAAACCGGGTCATTAGACGTCCGGTTTGGGTGCATTGTGAACCAGGACCTTTCCGTTCTTAACCTGGTCATCGTCAAGCAGGGTAAGTTGTTGCACGCCCTTCTAAGGCTGGAGAAACCGGGTTGCTAGACGTCCGATCCGGTTCGATGCATTGTGAGCCAGGACCTCTTGGTGTTGAACCTGGTCATCGTGAAGCAGGGTAAGTTGTTGATCGCCCTCGTAATGCTGGGGTACTTGGGTCATTAGACGTGTTAATTCGGGTGCATTGGGAGCCAGAACCTCAAGGTGCCGAACCTGGTATTTCATTCCCCACTGTTTGCCCTTTGCCAGGCTCAACCACATGTCCTTACTGCTCCCTCTTTCCCACTCTCCCCCTCACCTCAGGCGACAACCACCTCCCCGGTCTGACTGACACGGAGAAGCCCCGGCTTCGTGGACCCAAGAGGGCGTCCAAGATCCGGAAGCTGTTTGCGCTCAGCAAGGAGGACGATGTGACCAAGTATGTCAACACGTACCGCCGCAAGTACACCACCGCCAAGGGTATGTCTTCATATAACGAGTCGGGGATGAATGTGACTAACGGGGATGAGTGTGACCAGTGTCTCATTAACGAGGACGATGTGACCAATTATGTCAACACGTACCGCCGCAGGTACACCACCGCGAAGGTTACGTACAAGGATTAGGACCGTAATGAGTAGGAGAGAGTGACTACAATGGGGATGAGCGTGACCGAGTGTCTCTCTGTGCTCAGCAAGGAGGACGATGTGACCAAGTATGTCAGCAGGTGATTGACCTCCTTTCCTTATCCCTTGCCTGCTGTTCTCCCCTTGTCCCCCTCCCTCCTCCCCCCGTTCACTTTCTCCAGGCAAGAAGAAGAGCAAGGGCCCCAACATTCAGCGCCTGGTGACCCCCCTGACCCTGCAGCGCAAGCGCGCTCGCCTGGCAGAGAAGAAGAAGCGCGTGGCCAAGGCCAAGTCCGCTGCTGCCGACTACCAGAAGCTGCTGGCGCTGCGCATCAAGGAGCAGAGGGAGCGGCGGTCCGAGTCCCTGGCTAAGAAGCGGGCCTCCCGGGCGTCCCAGGCTAAGCCCGCTGCGGCTCCTGCTAAGGAGTAGGGATGGATCATGGATGTGGGGAATGGGAGATGATAGAGCCATGGATGGCTGGCTTTTTTTGTCTCTTGGTGGCAATGGTAATTTGTAATTTGTCAGCTGTTGCATTAGATTGGCGAGCTTGCAATGTAACCGTTGAATGGAAAATATACAAGATCCGGCTATCAGTAAATCAATATAGAGATTCACGCCTCTTATATTTTTCGTGTACACCGCACATCTTTCCAGTGGTTCTAGTCATAAATTTTGTGCATTCGGTCTCCCCCTTGTACCTTGTGCATTGTTTGACCTACTCTTGGACATCGCCTCTGACCCGTACTTATCACGTCTCCTGCGGCCCCAGCAACTCAGTTCTCTCAAGCGCTCTAACGGATTCTCACCCTTGCGCTGCACATGAAGCTAGAGGCTTGAATCCTGACCATTCTGGTCCCGGTCTTTGATTTGAGCTAAGATGGAGCTTTCATGGCGGAGGCTCTTAATCTTCTCCGCCGCGGCGCGGCTGATCATGATACTCTTTGGCGAGTGGGAAGACGCGAATCTGGAGGTCAAGTACACGGACGTAGACTATTTGGTATTTACCGACGCGGCTCGCCTGGTTACCCTAGGTCGTTCGCCGTACGAGCGTTACACGTATCGTTACTCGCCGCTTCTCGCGTGGATTCTGGTGCCAAACGTGTTGCTTCACCCGCTCTGGGGAAAGCTGTTTTTCTCAGCAGCCGGTAAGTCTTGTAAATTTCGTGGCAGACAGTCAGTCAGGCATTCAAGTCAAATATCCAGTCATGCATTCAGTCAGGCGAGTCAGGCATTCAGTCAAGCATTCAGTCTGGCATTCAGTCGAGCGTTCAGTCAAGCATTCAGTCTGGCATTCAGTCAAGCATTCAATCAGACATTCAGTCAGTCATGCATTTGTGCAGGATTCAGTCAGACATTTCACTAAGAGATTCAGTCAGGTATTCACCCAGGCATTCAGTTAGGCATAAGGCGGGCATGCAATCAAGAATTCAGTCAGGCATTCAGTCAGTCACTCAGTCATGCAGCATTCTCTTCCTCCCTTTCTCTCCTCTCCCCGCCAGATCTTTTGGTGGGTCACCAGATCCGATCTCTCCTGCTTCTACGTGGCATTTCCGACCACGTGGCAGTCCTGTGTGCTGCCACGTGGCTCTTCAACCCCTTTACTGTCACCATCGCTACAAGAGGCAACTGTGACGCCCTTGCTGCTGCTCTCATCCTCCAAGTGCTTCTTGGACTGTTGCAGGGTATGTGATGTGATTATATATGGGTGGTTAATAATTGCGTTTGCAGAACGAGGTGTGACTATTACGGGGCCGCTTACAGATTGGCCTTTTCAGGCAAGTGTGACGCTCTTCCCGCTGCTCTCATCCCCCAAGTGTTGCTTGGACTTCTGCAGGGTATGTTGTGTCCATTGTAACAACGTTTCCAGCGGAATTGTCTGCAGGGTATATTGTGTGATGATAACGAGGTTATAGCACATTATTTCCCCGTCCACCAATAAGTAAGTAGCCCTCCCTCCTCTCCTCTCCTCTCCCGTCCCCATCCCCAATCCCCTCCCCTCCTCTGGGCAGGGAATATTATTTCTTCTGCTTTTTGGTTTGGCATCGTGGTGCATTTCCGAGTCTACCCGATAATCTACTCGCTGCCCTTCGTCCTCTACCTCTTCCACACATATCCACTGCGAAACAACACCTCCCTCGGTGCCAGCTCACTGACCAATTCACTGCGAAACAACACCTCCCGTGGTGCCAGCTCACCACCCAAATCCTCCATCCCTGATACTGCTAAAGCCAGCGCGCTTTCCCGCATTTTGAAGGGCCTTACATTGCCTGTAGAGTTTGCTGTGGTTTCTGGGGGCACGTTTGTCCTCGTTACAGCGCTGTGCTGGAGACTGTACGGGGACCAGTTTCTTAACGAGTCACTGCTGTACCATGCCTCGCGGTCTGATCACCGCCACAACTTCTCAGCTTACTTCTATGCGATATACCTGGTGAGCCTGATGTATGGTCATGCCCATGACTTGGTATGCCCATGACTTGGTATGCCCATGACGTGCTTCATGTGCTCAGTTGTATGCGATCTACGTGCTGATTCTGATGTATGGTCATGCCCATGACTTGGTATGCCCACGACTGGCTTTATGAGCTTAATTGTATGCGATATACCTGTTAATTCTTATGTATGGTCATGCCCATGACTTGGTATGCCCATGACTTGGTATGCCGATGACTTGGTATGCCCATGACTTGGTATGCCGATGACTTGGTATGCCCATGACTTGGTATGCCCATGACTTGGTATGCCCATGACTTGGTATGCCCATGACTTGGTATGCCCATGACTGGCTTCATCTGCTTAGTTGTATGCGATATGCCTGGTGAGTCTGATCTGATGTATGGTCATGCTTAGTTCATGCACTTCATTTCAGGTCATATATATCTGATATGACATATGCCTGGTGCAACAATGCCTCTGTTCTGGCTGAGTCTAAACCCTTCACTTTCTCGTCCCCTTTCCCCTCTTTCTTCTCCGCTCCATGCCAGATGACCAATCAGGGAGCGCCATCTGTCACAAGCAGGATCCTCTCCTTTCTGCCTCAGCTTCTGCTACAATCAACTTTCTCCCTCAAGTTCTTCCAGGACCTCCCCTTCTGCCTCTTCGTACAAACATTCGCATTTGTGGCTTTCAATAAGGTGGGTAACATGTAACAAGGTAACAGCTAAACGAGTTCTTCACTTCTCCCTCGAGTTCTTCCAGGACCTCCCCTTCTGCCTCTTCGTACAAACTTTCGCTTGTGTGGCATTCAATAAGGTAACAGCTCTATATCTTAAACTCAATGCATCCCCCTCCATTTTCCCCATTTCGCATTCCTCTCCCTCCTTTGCACCGGTCTCTCCTCCCAACTTTTCTTTGTTGCCCTCCCTCCCCCCTCCTGCCCCCACCCCTCATTTCCCCGTTTCCGGCTTCCCCATGACAGGTGATAACCTCGCAGTACTTCGTTTGGTTCCTCTTCCTCCTTCCCCTGATCCTTCCCTTCACGTCTCTCCGCCTCACAAAGTACGGCGGCGCTTGTCTTCTTCTTTGGCTCGCTGGCCAGTCTTACTGGCTTTGGTGGGCGTATAATCTTGAATTTGGGGGACTTTCTTGCATGCTCCCCCTTTGGGTTGCTGGTATTATGTTTCTTGCGGCAAATGTGGCTATATTGGCTTGCTTGATTCGGAGCCATACGTTCACTTCGTTTCTGCCTTATGCCGCCTCTGCACATAAGAAGGTAAACTAGTTGTAATAATGCGTGGACCAAGTAACACGAAAGGTTGAGACTAGAGCAAACTCTTGTTATGAGGGACGACCATTATTATAGGGAACTGATGTGGTTTTGACTAGAAGAACTTGAACTTATACCGGTACCTGGATCCACCAACAAGCTAAGCGAGTCGAATCACCTTCTCAGCTCATGTCGTCTCATACCTTTCTGAGCCTCAAGGAGGTGCCTCGCTAAACGAGGACGTGCATCAAGCCGGCCGATGGCGATGCGGGCCGAACGCGCCCTCCAGGGCACACTTCCTTTTGATCTGGGGGGAAAGTAATAGAAACAGGCAGCATTCGTCTGCCCGCGCAAGTGAAGTAGTGGCGCCAAGGTCAGCCGGGGCAGGAAAATACGACACCAAAAACCTTTTCCTACCGTTCGACATTTTTCCCTGGCTAGGTTTTTCCAACGACCAGACCTTACGGCAGCCAAACAGCAAGACGCGCCTCGTGTCTCACCAAGCCGCTTCTTGGCTCGGAAGTTTTGCTTCGGTTCGGATTTTAGAAACTCCCTCGGTGCCTGGCACAGAATCTACCTGCGTTCACCTAGCCGCCGTGCCGCTACGCACCCCTTTCGCCGCCATGCCACCCTGTGATCTGCCGGGCTTGCCTCATCCGCCTGTTCCTCTCTCGCTTACCTCCCCGTCTCCATCTTGGCATTCACATTCTGACTCGATTGCCTTGCCACCACCCTCTGGCCCCAGAGAAACTGCAGAGGGCGAGGCGTAGGCAAAATTGCTCGTTTCCCCCCACCCCCACTTACGGAACGAAACCAATCCCAGTGCTCTCTCCCGTGGCGCAGTACAGAATGCTCCTCCTCACCCCACCTCCTCGCCACGTCGTGCTGTGAGAGCCAACTCTTACGGGGAAACTCACATCACAAAAACTGTACATTTACTGCTGCGAAGTCTATTGTCACACAACGACAAGTCGCCGTGGTTCGGCACCAGCTCCCGTTCTGAGCTGGCGTCAGCTCACTGGCGTCGTTCCAAGTGCTCACTCACACTCATGCCGCACGTTGTGCAATGTGCGGTGCGAACGAAGCGTCAACTCCGTCCTTCGCCCCATATGTACTAGGGTAGGGCCTACCTAGTAGTTTAGGTTCTAGATAGGCCCTTCTTTCTGTCTGGCTGATCACCGCGAATACAGGGACACTAGGCTGCTGGTTCGTGCTCCTTGTGTGCGTGCGTCACAGCCTGAGTGGTTGGACTCGTGCGGGAAGTCACACGCTAGTTAGTACTACTAACTAGTAGTTAATCGTCTCTAACGACTGCTAGTCAGCGTTTCGATCTGCAGCTGAACCGTGTCTTGCCGAAGTAGCAATATTTCGGTGTCAGGCAGTTAACGTCCAGTTCCCGCCATTCCCAGCGCCATTCACCCTTCCGCCGTTCGCCCTTCCGCCGCTCGCCCTTTCGCCGTTCATTCTTCCGCCGTTTTCACTTCACCCTTCCGCCATTCGCTCTTCCAAAATTCGCTCGCCCCCACACAAAGCTCCCGCCGCACACCCCGCCATACACCCCGCCGTACACCCCGTCATCTCGACATTAAATATTCGATATCTCCGGGTCGTGCATGATAGTCCCCGACAGTAACTCCTTCGCGATCCCGGTATTCGCGCTTCTGTAAATTACAATTAGCGCATAAAAATTAGACTCGTTTTGCGGGATTCCTCCTGCCCTAGTTCCATTCACGAGTTCGGTGGCCGCTACCATTTTTAAGGCCCACGCCTTTCTCAGATTAAAGACGTGACCAGCTATATGCGGGTCGGAAATTTCGGCTCGGAGCCGAGCCAGCGGGAGCGGCGGCGGCAGCGACGGCGGGTGCCGCCCGTTTTTTTCCGCGCCGCTGGTCAGCGCGGAATGCTCTTCCCCGCAGCGTTCGCGCTTCTTCTAATGGCGACGTGCCACGTGGACACAACGGCCGCAGCCGCCTTTAAGGCCACCGACGCGTTTAAGCCGGCATGCGGGCTGATGACGAGTCCAGGAGCCAAGGGTAAGGAGGGATCGTTACAGGGCGTTACAGGGCGTTACATGATTAAAACTGGCATGCGGGCTGATGCACGAGCCCAGGAGCCAAGGGTAAGCGGCGGAGATCAAATATAAGTCAGGTGCTCCTGCCAAGGGTATGCGCTGCTTACCCTATATCGCATTTTCCCGTAAAAGCCCTTAGTTCCCCTTGCTCACGTCATCTACCCCTTGCTCACGTCATCTACCCCTTGCTCACGTCTTCCCCTTGCTCGCGTCATCTTCCCCTTGCTTACGTCATCTTCCCCGACCTGCCTCCTTGCTCACCCCCTCCTCCGCCTTCCCCCGCCCCTCCCCCGCCCTTCCCCGGCCCCTCCCCCGCCCTTCCCCAGCCCCTCCCCCGCCCTTCCCTGGCCCTTCCCTGGCCCCTCCCCTGCCCTTCCCCACAAACCCTATTGCAAGCAGTTCGGTTCATAACCAGGCGTAATACACTTGGAATACGAGCTACAGTGGACAGTTGAGCGGAAAGTCCCAATGTCCATAGCCTTTTGCTTTCCCGCCCCCCCCTTCCCCCCCCCCCCCCCCCGCCTCCCGGTCGTCCCCCACCCGCTCCAACTTCCGCTCTTCCCCCCCCCCCTCCCCCCCCTCTCTCCCCCCCAGGCTGGAAGCGGTGGAGCGACTGGCGCACGTGGGGGGGACCCATGCGCTTTCTGGGAGTGCCGGGGCGCGGACTGCGGAAATGGCAGGACGTCACGATCCCGTGCGGCGTCGCGATTCTGCTGGACGTACCCGATATAAGCGTGAAAACGCTCACCGTTAAAGGCTGGCTCAAGTGAGTGCTTGATTCTGTATTGGGCTCTCCGGCCTGTCGCGAGGGCATAGGTCTAACCGCACCGAATCTAATCACATTTGATCGAATCTGATTGGGTATGATCGGGATGATCAGATCGTAAAGGTTAAGTCTGATCCGATTTGCTCGGATCTGACCTGACTGTCCCTGATCTAGTCGGACCCGATCGGACCTGATTTGATCTGATCATGCCGGATCTGATCGGACGGTTCAGGTGGTCTGAGAGCCTGGATCAACGTCGGGGCAACCATGTGACGGTGATGGGGAAACTCACGGCGGAGCCTGATTTCGCGGCGCCTCGAACATAGACTCACGGCGGACGAGCCTATTGTCGCGGCGCCTCGAACATAGAGTCACGGCGCCGGCGGACGAGTCTCTCTTTCTAACCGCCTCCGCTCCCCAGTTCTCAACTTCACCTGTTCCCCCCTTCCCCCCACCCCACATCACCAGGTGATTTTTGAGTCGACTCAAAAACCGCCTCCGCTCCCCCGCTCCCAACTTCACCTGTCCCCCCCCTTTCCCCCACCCCCACATCACCACTCCCAGGGTTTCGGACCCCCCCTCGCGTCCTAACATCAGCGTGCGCTTTTGAGGCGCCTTTGAGGCGCTTTTGAGGCGCCTCAAACGCGTCCTAACATCAGCGTGCGCGCCGATTACATCGTGGTGATGGGCAAGCTCACGGCGGGCGAGCCTCCTCCCGATTTCCCCCCCCCTCTTCCCTTCCCCCGTTCCCCTTTCCCCCTTGGCGCAGGGTTCTCGACTCCCCGTCGCTCCCCAATATCAACGTCAGAGCCGACTACACCGTCGTGATGGGGAAACTCACGGCGGGCGAGCATCAACCTAACGTCCCCCCCATCCTCTCCCCCCACTCTCCCGTTCCCCTCCCCCCCCCCCCCCTCCTCTACGCTCACTCCTAGGGTTCTCGACTCCCCGTCGCTCCCTAACATCAACATCAGAGCTAATTACATCGTGGTGATGGGCAAGCTCACGGCGGGCGAGCCGAGCCGCCACTTCTCGAGCCGCCTCGCCTTCACGCTGTTCCCAACCGCCAACCGCAAGCCCTTCCAGCTGACAAAGCTCGCTCCAGCTGATCCGGGCAACCCGAGAGACCTGGGGCACAAGGCGTTCATCGTGGTGAGTGGGGGGATGGGGAAGGGAAAGGGGGATGGGGGAGCGGAAGGGTAAGACGGAGAGCAGCGCCCTTCCAGCTGAAAAAGCTCGCTCCCGCTGATGCGGGCAATCGGCGCGATCAAGGACACAAGGCGTTCATTATGGTACGTGGAAGGAAGGGGGAAAGGAGATGGGGAGGGGGAAGGGGAGGGGGAGGGCGAGGGGGAAGGGGGCGCGGAAGGGGAATAGGGCGAGCAGCACATTGTGGCTTACCCCTGCTGATCCCGGTTTTGAGCCGACTCAAACCTGCATGCATGGGGAATGGGGAGAGGGGAAGGGCGGGGGGGAGGAGGGAGGCAGGGGAGTTGGGGAGCAGGGGGGTTGGGGAGTTGGGGGGAGGAGGGGGGAGGAGGGGGGCAGGGCGGGGGGGGGAGAGGGGGGCAGGGGAGGTGGGGAGCTGTGTAAGGTGTCTTTATCCTCCTCTCTGTCCCCCTCTCAGACCCCAGGTGGGCAGCCATGTGCAAGTCCACGGCACACCGCCCCTTAGCCTTCCTCTTCCCCTGCCCCTCTTCCTACCCTTCCCTCTTCCTACCCCTTCCTACCCCTTCCTACCCCTTCCTACCCCTTCCTACCCCTTCCTACCTCTTCCCCTCTTCCTTATCTGCTGCTCTCCCCTAAGCAGTGGGGCGGTCAGATGCAGTGCAATTCCCCGTCTTGGTACCACTCTCTCTCACGCCCCCCTCCCTCCCTAAACCTCTTCAGGTGGGCGGTCAGGTGCAATTCCACCGCATGCCGGCCCTTACGCTGTGTAACTCTCTTTGACCCTTCCCCTCTTCCTTATCTCCTGTCCTGCTCTCCCCTAAGCAGGTGGGCGGTCAGGTGCAATTCCACGGCATGCCGGGCGGCAGCGACACGCCCTCGTGGGTGCGGCTGAGTGAGACGGCCAATGCCGGCCAGAGCTACGTATTGGTGGATGCTGACGTCAGCAACTGGGCGGCAGGGATGACGGTGGCTCTGGCCTCCACCAGTAACGACCTGAACGAGGCGGAGCACCACGTGATCGCCTCAGGTGAGGTTCTGATTTGTTGAAACCACCTGATCTCCTCATTTCAGGTGCTGCTGCTCTGATGAAACCACCTGACCAGTTCGACAATGATTTGTTGAAACCACCTGATTGAGAGCCTCGCAATTCCCAGCCATGCAAGTTGGAAGAACCCGATTCGATTTCTTGCTTCTCACTTCCCCTTCCCTCCCCCGTTTTCCTCCTTTCCCCCTGCTCTCTCCCCACTCCCCCCCCCTTCCCCTGCCACATAACCAGTTGCTGCTGACGTCAGCACTCCTGGCGTTTTCCGCATCAACCTGCGGACTCCCCTGAGGCACACCCACCAGGGGGAGGTGTTATCTGATGGCGGCTCGGGCACCGTGGGAATCTTCGGGGAAGTTGCGCTACTGGACCGCCACGTCAGCATCCAGGGGACGAATGAGGAGGCGCCACATCAGTACGACGGTGGCCACTTTATTATCTACATGACCCCGACCCCTCAGACGCTGGAGGGGGTGCAGTTCAAAGGACTCGGAAATCAGGGGAACTTGGGGAGATACCCCGTGCACTTCCATATTTGCGGGCAGCAGGGGGAGGCGCATGTGGTGCGGAAGAATGCGATTGTGTTTACCAGGCAGGTACGGATGGGGTGAATTTTGAGTCGACTCAAAAGAATGCGATTGTATTTACAAGGCAGGTAAGGGTGGGGATAACAGGAATGAGAGGAATGAGAGGAATGAGAGGAATGAGAGGAATGAGAGGAATGAGAGGAATGAGAGGAATGAGAGGAATGAGAGGAATGAGAGGAATGAGAGGAATGAGAGGAATGAGAGGAATGAGAGGAATGAGAGGAATGAGAGGAATGAGAGGAAATAGGTGTGTGTATGGATAAGAGTTTGCCACCTATGCAGCAGGGGGAGTCGCATGTCGTGCGGAAGAATGCGACTGGGTTTACAAGACAGGTGAGATCAGCAGACAGGTGAGATCAGCGTGCAGGTGAGATCAGCAGACAGGTGTGTATCTTACACGGTTCTACACATTCCTTTCTCTTTAACGAGTCTTGTCCTTTTTAACGAGTCCTGGCCCTTATAACGAGTCCTGTCCTCTGGCAAAGTAGTCAAAAAGTAACGCTGCTTTCTTTCTTCCCTCGCCTCCCCCACACACCAACCAGCGCTGCATGGTGATCCACACTACGGGCAACATGAGCATAGAGGAGAAGTGCACATGTGAGACCAAGGGCCATGGTGTCTCATGCTGCCTACACCCCTCCTGCCTCCTTCCATCCCCACTTCCATCCCTCCTTCCCTCCAATAACCAGCGCTGCATGGTGATCCACGCCACGGGCAACATGAGCATAGAGGAGAAGTGCACATGTGAGACCAAGGGCCATGGTGTCTCATGCTGCCTACACCCCTCCTGCCTCCTTCCATCCCCACTTCCATCCCTCCTTCCCTCCAATAACCAGCGCTGCATGGTGATCCACGCCACGGGCAACATGAGCATAGAAGACAACATAGCCTATGAGACCAAGGGCCACTGCTACCTGCTGGAGGAGGGGAGTGAACTCAACAACCTCTTTACCCGCAACCTTGGGATCAACGCCAGAAAGGGTATGTCGTTCTTGGGACTAGCACGTATGAGACCAAGGGCCACTGCTACCTGCTGGAGGAGGGAACCTTGGGATCAACGCCAGAAAGGGTATGTAGTTCTTGGGACTAGTGCTGGAAAGGGTAGAAATTCCTGGGGTTAGCACATATTAGACCGAGGGCCAGTGCTACCTGCTGGAGGAGGGGACTGAGTTGGACAACCTCTTTAAGCGGAGCCTTGGGATCAACGCCAGGAAAGGTGGGTTGATCTTTGGGTGTTTAATGTGGAAAGGTGCGATGTGCCTTGGGATTAACGCCAGGAAAGGTAACTTGGAACGGTTGCCGGGAAGCACGGGATAACTTGGAGTTTGGAGAGTCATAATATACAGCAAGCCAGGAGCAGCAAGCTAGTCAAGCAGACAGAACGACAGCCCACCACAATGTGTATCTCCTCCCTTTCATCCCCCCGCCCCCCTAACCTCTCCTCCCCCCCTCCCTCCCCCTTCCCAGTCGCAGTGGAGAAGGTGATTCCCTCCGCCAGCAGCAGCAAGGTAGACAAGCAGACAGAGACAGCCCACCACACTTGGTATTTCCTCCCTTTGACACCCCCCCCTTCCCCCCCCCCAACCTCTCCCTCCCCCCTCCCCTCTCTCCCCCTTCCTATTTGCAGTTGAGGAGGTGATTCCACCCGCCCACCCGCCAGCAGCAGCAAGCTAGACAAGCAGACGGAGAGACACGGACTGACGCACTGTGCTCCCCTCCCTCCCCTCCCATTCCTCCCTCCCCTCCCCGCCACCCTCCGCACACGTTCTGTTCCTCCAGTTGACAAGGTGATTCCCCCCGCCAGCAGCAGCAAGCTGGACAAGCAGACGGACCGACATGGACTTACGCACTGTGCTCCCCTCCCTCCCCTCCCTCTCCTCCCTTTCCTCCCTCCCCTTCCCGCCACCCTCCGCACACGTTCTGTTCCTCCAGTTGACAAGGTGATTCCCCCCGCCTCAAGCAGCAAGCTGGACAAGCAGACGGACCGGCAGCCCACCACGTTTTGGCTGGGCACGCCTCACAGCAACTTCATCGACAACGTGGCTGCTGGGTCGGAGGACTCGGGGTGAGTGGAGTGGAATACATGCATTTCATAAGTATACACAAAGGCACTCTCACGCGTTGCGCTGATGAAGGCCTATTGCTGGCCGAAACGTGTTCGCAGGCGACATCCGGGCCTATTGGGTTAGGCTTTCTGACTAAGAGACTTTCCTGTAACGTAGCTCGTGTCTCAGTTTAATTCGTGTCTCAGTTTAGCTAGTCTTAGCCTTAGATCCACTCCGAGAGAGCTTATGTATTTCACAGCAGCGGAGTACATGTATATTTCATTTTACACTCCCTCTATTCCCTCACCCGCCCTCCCCCCTCTCCCCCAGGTTCTGGCTGGAAGCCACCCCTTACATGCAAGGAGTGTCCCGGCTATTGCCTGAGGTCGGGAAATCAATTCCCTGACCTTCACCTGGGGGCGAGTACAGGGGGAAGAACGTTGCTCACACATGCTACTCTCTCTTCCCCCCATCCTCCCCCCATCCTCCCCCCATCCTCCCCCCATCCTCCCCCATACTCCCCCCATCCTCCCCCCATCCTCCCCCCTTTACCCACTTGTAATCGCCCATGTTTTGACTGGAAGCCTATGCGCTACATGAGGGAGTGTCCCGGCTGCTGCCTGAGATCGGCCACCGGCCGGTTACATCCCCTGCTCCTCACTCCCTTCATTCCCGCATCCCTTTCCCCCCTCACCCCCACAGGTTCTGGTTGGAAGGCACGCCCTTTATGAGGGGGGTGTCCCGGCTGCTGCCTGAGATCGGTGCCATCAATCCGTTAACCTTCAACTGGGCCGAGTACAGCGGCAACGTCGCCCACTCATGCCACCCTCTCTTCCCCCCATCCGCTCCCTTCACCCCCTGGCACACTCCCAGGTTCTGGTTGGAAGCCACGCCCTTCAGGAGGGGGGTGTCCCGGCTGCTGCCTGATATCGGTGCCATCAATCCGTTAACCTTCAACTGGAGCGAGTACAGTGGCAACGTCGCCCTCTCTAACTGCTGTGGTTGCCTCTGAAATCCCGTTCCTCCAGGTTCTGGCTGGAAGCCAACGAACCCACGAGCCATGTACTCAACTGGGCCGAGTACAGCGGCAACGTCGCCCTCTCTACCTGCTGTGGTTGCCTCTGATATCCCCTTACTCCAGGTTCTGGTTTGAAGGCACGTCCTACATGAGGGGGGTGTCCTGGGCCCCGGCTGCTGTCTGAGATCGGTGCCATCAACCCCCTGGCCTTCAACTGGGCCGAGTACAGCGGCAACGTCGCCCACTCATGCCACCCTCTCTTCCCCCCCTTCCGCTCCCTTCACCCCCTTGCACTCTCCCAGGTTCTGGTTAGAAGCCACGCCCTACATGAGGGGGGTGTCCCGGCTGCTGCCTGAGATCGGCGCCATCAATCCGCTGACTTACAACTGGGGCGAGTACAGCGGGAACGTTGCTCATAGCAACGTGTTTGGGTTCCGCACCTACCCGCACGGCTCGTACGCAAAATACCCAGTGTATAATAAGGAGCCTGCTCCCTTGAAGGACTTTCTTATCTACCGAAACACAGTGGGGTGAGTGAGTGTGAGTGCAAGGGTTTCATGGGTGCACGCAAAGGTGTTTGTGCGCGGTAAGTTCTGGGTTGCATCGGCAGAATCACCCCCCCCTGACCTTCAACTGGGGCGATTTTTGAGGCGCCTAAAAAATCCTTCAACTGGGGCGATTTTTGAGGCGCCTAAAAAATCCTTCAACTGGGGCGAGTATAACAGGAACGTCGCCCACTCCAACGTGTTTGGGTTCCGCACCTCCCCGCATGGCTCATACGCGACATATCCGGTTTATAACAAGAAGCCTGCCCCGTTGAAGGACTTCCTAATCTACCGCAACACAGTTGGGTGAGTGTGGGGGTGTGTGATGCAGCCAGTCGAGTGGTCGGTTGTTTGGGTCCCGCACATATCCGCACGGCCCGCACGCGAAATATTCGGTGTATAACAAGGTGCCTGCCCCGTTGAAGGACTTTCTTATCTACCGCAACACAGTCGGGTGAGTGAGTGCGCCTTTAAGGCACCGTTGGCTCGTGGCGACCGCACCTACCTGCACGGCTCGTACGCAAAATACCCGGTGTATAGCAAGGAGCCTGCCCCACTCAAAGATTTTCTTATCTGCCGCAACACAGTTGGGTGAGTGTGGGTGGGGTTAACGCACTGAGAAGCACCAAACAGACCTGCACGGCTCGTACACAAAATATCCAGTGAATAACAAGGAGCTCGCCCCGCTGAAGGACTTCCTTATGTACCACAACACCTTGGGGTGAGTGATGTCGGCTCATACCAATTGCACCTACATGCACGGCTCGTACGCACAATACCCTGTGTAAACAAGGAGCCTGCCCCGCTCAAATACTTTTTGATTTACCAGAGCACAGTGGGATGAGTGTGGAGTGAGTGTGGAGTGAGTGTGGGGTGAATGTGGGGTGAGTGTGGGGTGAGTGTGGGGTGAGTGTGGGGTGAGTGTGGGGTGAGTGTGGAGTGAGTGTGGTGAGTGTGGTGTGAGTGTGGGGTGAGTGTGGGGTGAGTGTGGAGTGAGTGTGGAGTGAGTGTGGTGAGTGTGGTGTGAGTGTGGGGTGAGTGTGGCTTTCGTATTCCTCTGCACCTACCCGCACGGCTCATACGCACAAGGAGCCTGCCCCCTTGAAGGACTTTCTTATCTATCGTAGTGAGTCTGGGAGTGAGTGAGTGTGGGAGTGAGTGTGGGAGTGAGTGAGTGTGGGAGTGAGTGAGTGTGGGAGTGAGTGCACCTTTGAGGCACCTTATACTCGTACGAGAGCGGAATTTCCTCTCTCTCAAACACACTCCCCCCTCTTGCCTTTGCTCCATCCCTCCTCTCTTTCCACTCTTCTCCCCTTCTCTTCTCTTTCTTGCGAGAGATTTTTTAGAATTCTCAAAACCTATCTCTTTCCACTCTCCCCCCTTCTCGCCTGGTCAATCCAGAATGTTCTTTTTCAACAGCGAGCGCATCGTCGTTCAGAATGGAATCTTCCTGGAAAACGCCGTGGGCATCGACTTGAGTCGCAACGTGAGGCTCTCGGCTTCGGGCTGCAAGTTCATTGCACAGGCTGCTGCTGCTGCTTCCTCCTCCTCCTCCTCTTCCGCTACCAGCAGCACCAGCAGCAGTGGTATCAGAGCACTCAGCAGCAGCTCAGGTTCCGAACATGATTCGGATTTCCCTTCTGCGGCAGGCCCAACCACTGTGACTCAACCCGATAGCCTCTCCCTCGCTCTCGGGCCTCTGGACGAGATCTATGGCGCCGGTAAGAGATTGCCTCAAGCTAATTCTGAATCTGGTCCTTCTGACTTCCTTCTGCCGAGAGGCCCAACCCACCCAACCACTGTGACTCAGCCGGTAGCCTCTCCTTCGCCCTCGGGCCTTTGGACGACGTCCATGGCGCCGGTAAGTGGTGATTCCGAAGCTGATTCCGAATCTCTCTGTGATGCGCCTCTTGCCAAGGGTCCAACCCACCCAACCACTGTGACACAGACTGACAGCCTCGCCCTCGCCCTGGGGCCTCTGGGCGTGGTCCATGGCGCCGCTGGTAAGTGGTGCTCTGAGTGGGCTAAAACAATCCATTTTTGACTCGACTCAAAAATAGACTCATTACACAGTAAAACAATTGTGACGCCTATCAGTTCATAATCCGTGTGTAATGAGTCTTCTTTTGAGTCTATTTTGAGTCTATCTTTTAGTCTATTTTTGAGTCGACTAAAAAATAGTCTCATTACACACTTAAAACAATCTGTGGCGGCTCTCTGAATCACCACGTGTGTGTGCAAGGTTCGACTCTCTCTCAACGTGACAGCTTCCCCTTGCTCTCGGGCCTCTGGCCGAGGACTTCGAGACTGTCGAAGATAGATTTCCTCGCTTCTCTTGTAACTCTGTAACTCTGTTGCTCGGTTGCTCGGTTGTAGGAATAGGGTTCACCCGGCCAGAAGAGGAGCTGTTCAGAGAGTTAAGACCAAGCAGGAGGCGATGGGAAGAGTGAGGCAGCAGCAGAGGATAGGCCCGATGCAGAGAGTGATAGGTGCTTGGTTCCCCCTCTTTGTTCCCCCTTCCTTTCCTCCCGTTGCTCTCACTCACTGCTCCAGGTTTTTGACTTCACTCGGCCGGAAGAGGGGTTGTTCAGAGAGCTCAAGTCCAAGCCGGGGGTGTTGAGAAGTGTGAGGAAGCAGCAGACATTGATTCTTGGTTGTAATTGTTGCTCCCCTTTTCCAGGTGTTGATTTCACTCGGCCAGAAGAGGAACTGTTTAAAGAGCTCAAGACCAAGCCAGGGGCGATGGGCAGAGTGCGGCAGCAGCAGAGGTTAGGCCCCATGCAGAGGGTGATAGGTGACGACAAGACGGGCAGCTTCAACTCGCCTGTGGGGATTGTTGTCAGCCAGTGCAACCCCTCGGACCCCCCTGGGCCCAACTCCATTCAAGATAGCTTGTGAGTACCTTACCTGTTTTACACTCGTCACTCCCTTGATTCCCATAACTTTGCCGTCTCTTGTGTTGGTGGCTTTAAGTCGCATCGGATGCCTCTGGACTAGGGATGGTTATATCGCATCGCATGGATGGCTCGATATAATATCGCATTTATCGCAAAAATGCGATAGCGATATTATATTTTCCCGAAGAAAATATCGCTGCTGTGCGATGCGATGTGAATCGCGAGATATTTTTATATCGCGTTTATATCACGGGTTTTCCCCTGCGACATATTGCGACATGCGATATTTTATGTCGCATGCGATATTTGCGCGATATCTGTGCGATATCCGAGCGATATTTTAATATCGCATGCTCTTTTTAGGTGGCTATCCGGGTTTTGGAGCCATGGATGAAACGCGATGCGATATTATATCGCATCGCGTGATATATCGCATTTTCAAATGCGATACAGTCATATATCGCACCTGAAATGCGATATGCAATATCGGGTTTCCAAAATTTATATCGCAGCGATGCGAGATAATATCGCGTGATATTAATCGCTATCGCAGCCAGAGCGATGCGATATTATATCGCATCGCACTTTAAACATTCTACTCTGGACCCAACTCCATTCAGGACCCCTTCTTGTCTGTGAGTTGACTCCCTTGACTTTGCTCACCTTTGGCCCCTTGTGAGCTTGGTGCAAAGGTTCAGAAAGGTCCAGAAAGTTTCAGAAAGGTTTAGAAAAGGTGAGCAAAGTCAAGGGAATCTCTCCTTTGCAATTTCTGAACCTATCTGGAATTCCCGAGATCCTTCCCTCCCCCCTCCAGCTTTTCTGGCTATGGTGCAACAGACGATGCGAGCTTTGCCCTGCTGCTCACAGCCAACCACGCCGGGGGGTTCTGGAACACAGCCATGTTTGTCAAGGTATGGCGACTCAGTGAAGGCAACCGACGCCACCTGTGTGCTTCTTGTTAGAGTATCCATTTGCTGCGTTGCTTGCTGCTCACAGCCAGTGTTTTCAGCAACGCGATACGTATGTTGCATAGAGGCTAAGCAGTGATTGAATTACCAACATCAATATTCCAAGCTTCCCCTCTCCCCACACTCCCTCCCTGCCCTTTGACTTGCCACCCTGCCACAGGGTCTGACCTTCGGTGAGGGAACCAACAAGTTCTGGGCAACTCCCAACCCCGTAAGCCGTGCATAGCATCTCGTTTTGAGGCGCCTCAAAACCCCGTAAGCCGTGCATAGCATCTCATGACATCCCCTGTAATGCCCTACCCTGTAACTCTCTCACCCTGTAAGCCTGTAGCTCTCTCACCCTGTAAGCCTGTAACTCTCTCACCCTGTAAGCCTGTTAGCCTATATACATATGTTAAAAACAATGTTAGCCTAGATATAAACAATGTTAAAAAATACATATATGTCTATGTATATACTAAGGTTGCATGTTTTCATAAGACTAGCAAAGTGTATGGTTTGCATTTTTTAAAATAATCTAAAGCCACAAAGTCAAAAAAAAAAAACGTCACCTTCTTATAACGCTTTTACCCCATTGCTATCCCACCAGTCCTCTGGCACTCCCCCCCGCGGGGGGCTGGTCGCCCGCTTCTACGCCGTTCGGGATCTCGACGGATCCCTCCTCGGCCAATCAGGCTACGCCGTTGCCAACTACGACCCAATCCTGCCGCCCGCCGCCGTCCGCGCCGCCCAGTGCACGCTGAACAGTGCGCAGAACGCGTATGCGTGCGACGGGGTGTGCTACAGAGCCGTGGGGATCGGGTACCAGGAGTGGGGGGTCAGACCGAATGGCATGGCTGGGCTTCCGGCTTATGTTCTGAGACCGTACAGGTGCGTGTTGGGAGGAACGGTGTCATTTTGGAGAATTCTAAAAAACGACTCCACTCTTTGAGAATTCTAGAAAATGACTCCACTGTAGCCGGCTTATGTTCTGAGACCGTACAGGTGTGTGTTGGGAGGAAAGTTGTGGAGCGAACAGCGCGCAGGGGCCGGGAGGACACTGTGGGGATCGGGTGCCAGGAGTGGGGGGTCTGATTTTTTAGGCGCCTCAAAAACAGCGCGCAGGGGCTGGGAGGACACAGTGGGGATCGGGTGCCAGGAGTGGGGGGTCCAACCTAACGGCATCGCAGCGCTTCCGACAGGTATGTGACCGACAGGCTTATGTCCTGAGACCGTACAGGTATGTGTCAGATTTAAAGGTGTGTGGGGCAGGCTTCCGACGGTATGTCTCAGATTTAAAGGTGTGTGGGGCAGGCTTCCGACGGTATGTCTCAGATTTAAAGGTGTGTGGGGCAGGGCTTCCGGTTACATTCTGAGACCGTTCGTTCAGGTGCGTGTTGGGAGGAAAGGTGTGGAGTGAATAGTGCGCAGGGGCTGGTTATTTTTTAGTCGAGTAAAAGAACGACTGTACAGGTGCGTGTTGGGAGAGAGGTGTGGAGCGAACAGTGCGCAGGGGCCGGGCTGGGAGGACTCAGTGGGGATCGGGTACCAGGATTGGGGGTTGCGACGACCCAATGGCAGGGCAGGGTTTCCTGCGTTCGTCCTAAGGTCATACAGGTGTGTGGACACGCGTGTGCGTGATGAGGTGTGGTGCGGTGCAGCATGTGTGAACATGTGTGGGTTGCTTGCGCGTGCTCTGGCAGATGTGTCTAATTGCGGCCGGAATACTGCTGAGCACTATGCCTATGCGCGTGACGGGGTGTTTTGCCCGATTACGGCACGGAGCCAATGACAATCCCTTCTCACTGCGCACTCCCCACTCCCACCCCTCTTCCCCCTCTTCCCCCCCTCCCCCCCCCTTCCCCCCGCCATCCCCTCCTTTCCTGATTGTCATTCTTCTCATCGCAGTTACGTCATCATCACACGCTTAGAGGATGGAGTCCAGTTCACGGATTATGGCACGGACAACGACAATCCCAACAACGGGCCCGCCACGCCCACCAAGCGGGTCCGCCGCTACCTCACCACTTCTCTACTCGCGGGCTATACCTACAACTTGAAAATTGTCCCGGCGCCCACCAACCCTCTCTTCTACCCTGCGGCAATCTTTGTGAAGTCATATGATGCGGAGGGGTGCGAAGGCAGCATGAAGATTGTCTTGGAGCCTAAGGACGGCAAGACGCAGTGGGTCACCGACATCTCCACAATGTAAGTGAATGGTTACTGTGCGATTCTTATCCATGTCCATGTACTATCATTGGCGTGTTTTTTGTTCTTTCTTTCTTTCCTTTTTTTTTCTTTCTTTCTTTTCTTTTTCCCGTGCTTTCGACCTCCTGTTAATCTCTTCTCTTTTCCCCTGTCGAAACCCCCAGTCCCTGCGCTGACCAGAACAGCAACTTGAGCTACCAGCAGTACGAGTGCACGGAGGGGCAGTCAAAGCTGGCGATCCAGATTGGAGAGAACAGCTACGGCACACATGCGATTGTCAATGCCACTGCTGTCGCCAGCCAAGCCTGCACTGAAAGCACGTGAGTCAGGTTTCTCGTTTCCCATACAGATGCATGTGAACGAGCCCCTCATGTGTAATGAGTCGATTTTGAGTCGACTAAAAAATAGTCTCGTTACACTCCCATATAGTTGCATGTGAACGAGCCCCTCATGTGTGCATGTGAGAGCAGCTATGGCACGCATGCCACTGCTGTCGCCAGCCAGGCTTGCACTGAAAGCACGTAAGTGCTCTCCTCTCTTTTCGCCTTATAGCGGCCTGTAAGTGCATGCCAGATCAGCTACAGCTACGGCACACATGTGATTGTCAACTCCACTGCTGTTGCCCTCATCTGTCCTCATCCAGGTAATTTGTCTCTTGTCTGTTGCCCCCATTACCCCACTGCCTTCATGCAGCCCTTGTTCCCCCTCCTCTTCTTGAGGCGCCTCATAAATGGACTTTGATATGTTTCCCTCATCTGTACTGCTCACCCAGGTCACTTTGTCTCCTGTCTGTTGCCCCCCCTTCCTTACCCCACTGCCTTCATGCAGGCCCTGCTCCACCTCCTCCTCTCCCTCCTCCTCTCCCTCCCCCTCTCCCTCCCCGTCTCCTCCCCAAACCACTCCATACTCTTCGGATCCTCTTTCTCCCAAGTCCTCCTCTCTGCCCCTTTACCCCACTCGCCTCACGGGCGGCAACATCGACCCCTTCTATGACCCCGCCTTCTACTCCCCCACATGAATTTGGAACCTGGCAATGCCTGTCAACCTCCAGCTAATCGTTCCTGCTCCCCAACGCCAGCTGCCAGTGTCAAGGAGATGTGTTGCATGGAAAAACAAATTCACCTTGGATTTATATAACTCTGGGTGCTTTCCCTTCCCCGTCAGGGTGCAACCCCCTCCTATTCTGCTGTATGCACAGTGGGTTTTCGTGTCGAGGATGGTGTCACTAGAAAATTGCTTATTTAGGTGTGGCTTGCCATGTATTTGGGCCCGAGGATCGAATATAAATGCCAAGCTTTTATGATGAGTAAGAAAAACAAAGTTTGGCAACAACGTGCATGTTAGAAGTTGTTTTACAGAGTACAAAATTCATAATACAGTACAGTCTAGCATCTGGACGCTTTTCAGTACGGGAACAAGCATCATTCGGCATGCCACGCTGGCAATCTCTGAAATGACCCCTCCCCGCGGACAGCCCCAAGTTCCTTGCTGCTGGCTCTCTATCCATTCCCTGTGTAGGCTGACGTGTCGAGCCCTAACTGATCCGGACATCCGCCAGCTTTCCCGCTTCCCCCCTTTCCCGCTTTCCCCCCAGCCCGCGACGGACGGCGGTTGGGGGCTTGGTGGAAAATTGGGCCCTCGCTGATGTGCCCCCACCGCACGAGCGATACCCGTCCGATCCAGGTCTACTCTGATCCTGGCCGTTCATGCCAATTCTCCCAGCTCTATAGCCTAGACTCCTGCACCTTTCCTGATTAGTTGGCGACTGAGATAGAATCGCCGATTCGCATTTTTAGGAGGCCGGTTCTATCGCTGTCCTTTTGGTGGCTTTTAATAGAGCGCCTCGATTAGGCCTCAGATCGTTCTACCATTTCCCGCCTCTCGGTTCCCCTCTCAGGGCCGATCTAGCCGTTTACAATGGCTCTTCTTGCTCACGCTTCCGCGATGGCTGTCGCAGAGCTCGCACTCACCACGCGACTATCAGCGACGTCGCCATGCGATAGCTTATCTAGCGTCGCCTCGTTTGCGCCGACTCGTTGGGTTGCCGCTCCTTCCGCCTCACGGCAACCACAAACCAGTCGGGCTACTCGATTGGTCGTCAGTGCAGAAACTGAGAGCAAGGGTTTGACCCGAGAGGGTGTGCTCCAGGTAACGCGGTTAGATCGAGTTCACCTTAGTTAACAGTTCCTCCGACATTATGTTTTCGAAATAGTATGGACGATCGCCACATTTAGTTGCACCGTTTGTCGGTGGTTAGTCTGTGCTCGTTGCAGCTGTGACTGATACTGTGTAAACAGTAAATCCGCAGCCCCGAGTTACTTGGCTGAACCGCGCTATCTCAGTTTCGTTTCGTTCCGTTTCGTTCCGTTTCTTAGCATAAGAAATAGACAGGATTCAACCAACTTCATTTCTATCTAGGTTCGTATGACTCTTGCCAAAAGATCGGAATGGTGATTGAGAGCAATATCTAGAGCAACCGAGGAATGCTTGTCGCTGAGATTGCGCGGGGAATGCGGGAGGGGGGACCGGGGGAAACAGCCCCGCAAGCGGAAGTGTTTATGGCCCTAGGGCAAATCTGCTACGGATGGGTTGAGTCGTTGTTCGAGAACGTAGTCGCAATTCACTCAAACCATCTTAGTCACCTGAATTGTCAGACTTACCCAAACCGCCCGCCTGGTGTTTGCTCTCTCCACTCTGTCATTATGACAGGTGGCTGAGTCCATACTCGCCGTGTGCATTTTTCACGTGGTGTATGCAGAACTTTACTTAACGCGGATTAGACCGAAATTGATATCTCGTTCTACCCCCATCCTCCCCTCATTGTTTCACCAGGGTGGCAGATGGCTGAGCTCCAACACCCGCCACGTGCGCATCTATGTGGGATACATCGATCCGCAGACCATGGAGATGGACCAGACGCAGGCGGACAAGCTGCGAGGGACATTTGCGAGGTTCCAAATCCCAAGTTATTTCTCTGTCGGTCCTCCCCTCTTATCATTCCTCACCAGGGCGGCAGATGGCTGAGCTCCAACACCCGCCACGTGCGCATCTACGTGGGGTACATCGACCCGCAGACCATGGAGATGGACCAGACGCAGGCGGACAAGCTGTCGCTGCTGCTGGACCCGGACAACGAGTTCCTGTGGTCGGAAGAGACGGAGAAGAAGGTGTACGACAAGTTCACAGAGCTCGTGGAAGGCTACGCGGTGAGTCAGGCTGGGATGGCAGGGAAGGGCGAATGGTGTTGAGACGTTGAGAGCTGTCGCTGCTGTCAGGGATGGGAGGGAAGTGGGAATGGTGTTGAGACGGGTAGAGCTGTCGCTACTGCTGGACCCGGACAACGAGTTGATGCGGTCAGTGGAGGTGGAGAAGGTGTGCGACAAGTTCACTGAGCTCGTGGAAGGCTGTGCGGTGAGTCAGGCTGGGATGGCAGGGAAGGGCGAATGGTGTTGAGACGTTGAGAGCTGTCGCTGCTGTCAGGGATGGGAGGGAAGTGGGAATGGTGTTGAGACGGGTAGAGCTGTCGCTACTGCTGGACCCGGACAACGAGTTGATGTGGTCAGTGGAGGTGGAGAAGGTGTACGACAAGTTCACAGAGCTCGTGGAAGGCTACGCGGTGAGTCAGGCTGGGATGGCAGGGAAGGGCGAATGGTGTTGAGACGTTGAGAGCTGTCGCTGCTGTCAGGGATGGGAGGGAAGTGGGAATGGTGTGAGACGGGTAGAGCTGTCGCTACTGCTGGACCCGGACAACGAGTTGATGTGGTCAGTGGAGGTGGAGAAGGTGTACGACAAGTTCACAGAGCTCGTGGAAGGCTATGCGGTGAGTCCGGCTGGGATGGCAGGGAAGGGCGAATGGTGTTGAGACGTTGAGAGCTGTCGCTGCTGTCAGGGATGGGAGGGAAGTGGGAATGGTGTGAGACGGGTAGAGCTGTCGCTACTGCTGGACCCGGACAACGAGTTGATGTGGTCAGTGGAGGTGGAGAAGGGGTGCGACAAGTTCACAGAGCTCGTGGAAGGCTACGCGGTGAGTCAGGCTGGGATGGCAGGGAAGGGCGAATGGTGTTGAGACGTTGAGAGCTGTCGCTGCTGTCAGGGATGGGAGGAAAGTGGGAATGGTGTTGAGACGGGTAGAGCTGTCGCTACTGCTGGACCCGGACAACGAGTTGATGTGGTCAGTGGAGGTGGAGAAGGTGTACGACAAGTTCACAGAGCTCGTGGAAGGCTATGCGGTGAATTGGTCTGGGAGGGAAGAACGCTTGTGAGACGCTGAAAGCTAGCGGTGAGTAAGTCTTGGATGGGGAAATGGTGCTGAGATGTTGAGCTGTCGCTGCTGCTGGAGCCGGACAACGAGCTGCTGTGATCGGCGGAGACGGAGAAGAAGGTGTACGACAAGTTCACAGAGCTCGTGGAAGGCTACGCGGTGAGTATTTGGGATGGGGGAATGTGGCACGGACTGAAGTCTGTAACAAGTTTCTACATGCTAATGGGGGCGTGGGCCTGAAATGAGTGTAATAGCATATATGACGTGATGAAGGGTGGGAAACTGAGGGTGGCTGTCCAGGGAAAATAACGAAGCCAGTACTGGCTGTGTGTGTGCATGCAATTGTCACGGGTTCTCAAATTAGAGTATCATCATCAAGTTTCAGTCACAAAATGATTATTTTTCTGGTAAAATTCTACCAATCTCAGCCATGCTATCCATTTCCCATACCCTCTGGTCTGCCCCTCCCGATTCCCACTGACAGGGTGCGGAGATGTCAGAGTACACGCTTCGCCTGATTGGCTCGGACTTGGAGCACTTCATCCGCAACATGCTGCTGGCAGGAGAGATCTCGTACAACCTGGACTGCCGGGTGCTCAATTTCAGCATGGGCAAGCCACGCATGCCGGATCCTGCTGCCAAGTGAGGCTACATTGTCAGAGACTGAGGACCATGTATTTACGGAACACTATTCTGTCACCACCAGCTTCTATCTGCACTTACGGAAGATGCCCTTGTCATGAGTTTGGCTCTGATATAGGAAAGTGCAGTCAAGATGTTGCTGTTATGTAATGCCACGAGGTTGCACATTCTTATCCCGCATCTTAGACAGGGATTTGAACAGGCTACTCAGCTGAGTCAATTGAGCACGCTGCACAATCCTTATCGGTCAGGGAGCTAGCATTGTGATGATAAGGAACTAGCTGAAAGGTAATCAGAATTGCAGGCGCATCCTTATGAGGGCAGGAGCATATAGTTCCTAAGGGAGTTAGAAGTGAGTTACGAGAAGAACCTCATCATAGTGGACATAATATTTTGGCAAACGATAAATATTTTCTGCACTCCCTCCTCGCTCTGCCTTCAAGATAACGACACATTGACTTGAATCCGAGCAGCTGGCATGAAGAGAGGGAGCGCGGAACATTTAGGTCGTAACCGTGTCGTTTGGTTCCAAGTTTGGACTTCCAAAGAGGTTGAAAACGGTCTGGTGTTCTGCACGCGTGGTAAAGTATGGCGAGGGCTCAAGCAGAAGCTGCCCCAGCTGAAAGCTCCCCGCCAGCAACAGATATTGTCACGGGGGGGGGGGGGGGGGGGGGGTCTGGGGGAAATGGGGGCGGGGTACTGAAGTCCTCGATGTCGCCACGCCAGCCTTGGCGGTCACACCAACCTCCATTTCAACGCGGGCGCCTGAATAATTTCGGCAAAGCTTTCGCATTGGCCAACCTAGGCACATGCCTCGCGTGGAAGTGCCAGCTCGGATACAATTGGGAACAGATGATTGGCCAGTCTGGATTGCGCCCCGGCAGCGAAACCGATGAACGGCTTTTCTGCGCGTATTTGTGGCGGTAACAACGACTTGCTTCGCGCATCATAGGCGCAAGCAACCAGGACTTTCCCCTACCCATCCAGCAAAGCCTCCATTCCCGAAGGAGTTCACTTCACATCCCTCCCAAACCCGCCCTCCCCCCCCCATCCCCGCGCTGCAAGCAAAGCCCCTCAACCCCCCTTCCGCTCGATATTCGGCCAGCAGATGCGCGATTTTGGGAAGATTTCCCCCAGTCTACGGACTTTTTCCCCAGTCCGCCAGCCACACCTCCCTCATGCCGCCAGCCTCCTCGCAACCCTTCCTCGCACAAGCGGGTCCGCCTCTCCTCTATTCCGCATACTTTCTGACCACCTTCAGCCAATCAGAGCCATCTTTGCACTCAATTTTCTCCATGCCATCCCCGTTTACTGTACGCCATTCCACCATTCCCCTCCCTCTCCCTCCCTTCCCCCCCCAACCCAGCTGTTTTGCTTCCTTCCGCCCCCGTCTTCCAAATCCCCCCCCCAACCAGTATGGTCGTTCAGCAGCAGGCCTCTCGATAACCTAGGGGTCACCCTGCAGAATCCGAGTTTGCCCGGGATCCAACTCGTCCAGGCTGGGTAACCCTAAAACTTTTGACTGTTTTTGCAGGCCAGAGTTTCGATCAGCTTGGAATGTGCCACTCCTAACAATGACAGGGGGAGCAATTTTTTCTAGGGGCACGAACTTTTACATTAGATTTTACAGGGTGGGTCCATCCCCTACACGAAAATCGGCCATGGAAATTTCTGGCTTGCCTGTCCATCGACGGGTATCGATGTTCTGAATGCGTCAAAAGCAGGGCTAGGTAGAAATTTCACCCTGTTTTCCTTGACAAAGCAGTGTAGTTACCCTAAATTCCAGAGGCCTGTTCGGCAGCAAGGCCATTCCCCCTCTCCCCTTTGCGCCTGCGCACTCTCCAGAAGCATCCATCTATCCACCCGCCAGCCATTTTTGGAACAACCACAGCCGCCATTGAGCTATTTAGGTTCCTTCCCTCTCCCTTGTCTGTTTCCTTCTAGCATAACACACTCCAAATCAGCTCCCTAGCAGTTGGTTTACCAGTTGAATCCTTTTATTGACTGTCTGGAACTTCTGCAATCCCCTGTCCTGCGTGACTCAGTGACTGACAGTCTCGTAAGATTCTTTCAACTGAGAACTATCATGTTCTCACAGCCGTCCACGCTTCCCAGTCACGTCGCGTTGGGCATTGCCGCTGCTAGGGAGCGTCCGTCGTCCCTCCGAATCGAACACCATCACGGAGCGGATTTGCTGGGATCTAGCCATCTCAGCTCCGCCGCTCACGCCGGTGATGATTTGACGGAGGACGACGTCTGGTCAGTCAACGACACTGACAGCCTGTCAACTGACGGAATCGTCAAGGTTCCGTCACACGACCAGATTCTACCGTCAATTCGCCTGACGAACCGAGCTCGTCCGGACCCATTCACCGCTTCATCTTCTGGTCGGTTCTCCAGTCAAGCCCATGGATTAGCGGTTCTCTCTTCGGATACCCTAACCGGAGGACAAGCTCCCCTTGGGGGGGATATCGTTAAGCCGAGCGCTCTGGCTCCTGTGGTTATTCCATCGATCCAAACCCATCTGGACCACTTCAATTCGAGGCATTCTCAAGGTCATCACCGTGCATCCGCTCCGGTCAACGTACCTGACTGGAGTAAAATAACGGGAACCGCCAGCCGGCGAACTCGCCGGCCGTTTGACGAATTTGACGATGACGTGGATAACATCATGGTTCCACCGCATGAGATGGTTGCGAGGGACACGTCAGCATCCGTGTGCTTCTCGGTTCATGAGGGACTTGGCGGAACGCTGAGGGGAAGGGACCTGGATCGGTTGCGGACCGCCATTCTTCAGAAGACGGGTTTTTACGAATAACCGTCGTCATACTCCGTCCAACCGTTTGCTTTGGCAGCACGAAGGCTATGGCGGTGCGCGCTGGGTCATTCATTCCGTTCAAGCTCCAAGCTTTGTTTTTCCTCTGTACTTATAGCTGGAAGTCGAATCGCCTGCAGGTGGCCTTTCAGGACCTAATTTGAAGCATGAAGCTTCATGAATCATGGCGCTTTTACGGTGGAGCGTCTTATACGCAGAGTGTGCTGCTTGAGCATTTGAGCTCTGCCTCGTGTGTTCAATTTTGTGTGGAACTCTGTTTTTCTGACTGCAATGCTGCCGGTGGAACTTGCGTAATCGCAATAGCTAAATGCTACCATCAGGGTCCTCGATTGCAGACAAAATCCGTCTGTTTTTCTGATTTTCAGATTTTTTTTAGGTGTTCATCTGATTTTTTAGAAATCAAACAATCAAATTTCTGATGCCTTAGAAAGTGTTTTTTAGTCCCTCTGATTTTCCAGGAACTGTATGCTTGTTCCTCTGAACTTTCAGAGTTAACGATTCTGCTCCTCTGAAAGCGACTTCTGTAGGCCTGTTGACTGTGTAAGGGAGCTGATTGGCCCTTAGCCAAAATCAGTGCCCATTGCCCGAAGGCTCTGTGAGGGCGCTATCTGGCCCTTCACCAAATCACCTCCGAGTTTGTGCTCGGAGCGGTGTGAGAGCGCCGATTGGCCCTTCACCATTTTTTCCCGAGATGTGCAGGAGGGCGTGTGGGCGAGGGCACTCATTGGCCCATGCCACGTGTGCTCGCGTTGATTCCCCTCCCGCCCCTGCAATTGCGATTCGCATCTCTCCCCAAATCTTTTCCGTCCCATTCCCACAATTTCGCCCCCCAATTAACCACTGTTTCCCTCAACCAAGTTTCGTCGCTAAAGTTTACGTGAAATTCCTAGGTCCACGAGGGGGGGGGGGGGGGGGGGTTGTCGGGGGCAATTAAAGTGTCGATTGACTCGTCTGAAATTTATAGAATTCGTGTTTCACTTCGTCTGGGAAATCAGAAATATAAAAACCTCCCGTCTGACGATCAGACGAGCCCGAAGGGCCCGTCTGATCGCTCAGAAAGTGTTCCAAGGCAATCGAGGACCCTGGCTACCATATTTATTTCTGGAGAACTTGCTACAGCTCTAACCTAGATGTCAACTGCATGTAATTGCAAACCTTGCGCTGGACAAATCAGAAGGCTCAGGAGAAGAACAATGTCCTACGAGCTAAACCTGTACATCACAAGTTCCAGAAATGCACTAGTGATTGGAGCTTTGGGCTTGAAATTGCAATCCCCTGGTTCATCCACATGGTCCTTAAAGCCCGCAGCTTGTCTCTTGGGCTCTTTGCTTTAATTAATGATAATTGACATACAGGAGAAAAAAAACTATTACGTTACATACATGTTGGAAATATCTCAAAGGACTTGAGCGTTTCTGAAGTGTAACACTACACTCGAGGAAGATACTTCAACGGGTCCCTGCCATTCCCAAGCAACGGCACTGGAAAGGAACAAGAAATCTTCACGTATCAGTCGCTGCTGGCGTATACAGTTCTCCTGCGGAACCTGTTGTTAACGTAGAAACGAATGATTACAAGAGGTGGAAACCTAGAACAAATACTAGTTGGTTGTACTCACTAGAAGCATACCTCAGTCTAGCCTATAACTTCTACATAGATAATATGTATAAGTTGACACACCCCCTAGGCTAGACAAGGGGTGAAACTAAACAAGAAGCAAACAGCTCAGGGCGGCACTACTAGTCCAACCACTGAGGCAGGGGTCTGGAGACCAGTCAGCAAGAATACAACCAAAACTGAAGCAAGCCAGGGTGGCACTACTAGTCCAGCCACTGGAGCAGGGCTCAAATTAGCCGGGTAAAATGCCTTGATTGCCCTGATTTTTCAGGGCATTTTTTCATTTGGTCTTAAAAATCAGACTTACGAAATTTATTACCCTGATCCAAAAAGTGTTACGAAAATATTACCCTGCCGAAACTAGGGTTGCGGGGCCCCGAACCCTGACCCTTCAGGGCGTCCTGAAAACTACCCTGGTATCGAAACTCCGAGATTCCGACTAAGTCCTTGGCGGCCAGAAACATTTCCCCCAAAACACCCTGCAACCAAAAATTTCGACGAAGTCCCTGGCAGCCAGAGTCATTCCTCCCACCCCACGCACCATGCAAGCCAGCAATTTCGGCTAAGTCGTAGCCAGAGTCATAGCTCCCTCACCCCCTCGCAACCCAGAAATGGCTAAGTCCCCCACAAGAGACATGCCTCCCAACCACACCCCCGCTACTTTTTTTTTTTTTTTTCGCTAAGTCCTCCACACCACAGCAAGACACGTCACGTCGTATACGCCCTTCTGACACCCAACCAATCACGAGCAGATGGTTTTTTTCCCGCCCCTCTGCCGCCCATGTAAATCTGATTCCCCTCTCGCGCCCCAGAATCGTTTTCCGTCCCATCCCATCCCCCAATCTCCCCCAGCACGCGCAAATCCGCTACACCCTTCTTTCCACACCTCAGTGCAGCCCACTTCATTCATGTAAAATGTTCCTTAAATGGCCAAGGCTAGAAAGGGTGCAAAGAGTTCTACACTTGAAGCAAAGACTTCGAAATTTTTTACCCTGCCAAATCAGACTTAGAATTTTTTTAGCTCTGACCGTCAGGGCATTTTTTTTTTCCTACTCTGATCTCAAAGAGTGGCCTAAAACCAATTTTGGGCCCTGCTCAGAGGCTGGACTAGTAGTGCCGCCCTGAGCTGCTTGTTTAGGACATTCCCCTATGCAGTCCAGGGGGTGTGTCAAACATGTTTATTGATCATGTTTGTATAGACTGTATAGGGTAACCTCCTAGCTAGAGGGTACAACATTTAGGTATATGTGCATGTACTCTCTAACTCTATCATGATTCAATTCTAGCTTTGAGACTGACTTCTGAGGGCCTGGCTAGAACATAGGTATATTTCATTCAGATGCCCCCAAAACAGCCTGCAGTGCGTACCTATCGCTGTTATAGAACCCTTTCTTACGAATCTTTGAGCGGCAAATGCTTCTTGGCTTTGATTTAGTCCTTCCTTCTCCTACTTTGTGCCTACCTACTGCTACCATAGAATCCTCACAAATCTTTGAGTGGCAAGTGCTTCTTGGCTTTGATATAGTCCTTCAGCAACCTCTTCTGCTCGTCTATCCTCCTCCTCTCCTCCCGGCTCGCCCCATGCTGCTCCCGCCTCTTCGCCTCCAAAATCCACTTCAAAACTTCCAGCTGCCCATCGAGATCAATTTTCGACACCTGCCCGCCCGTATAAGCCAACCCAGACACCCCAGGCCCTTCCCCTGCAGCACCATCAGCAGCACCTTCCCCCGTTATAGTCACACCTGCCGGCCCGACCATCGCCTCCATGTCCCATGACTGCATCTCAGACGTCGTCCTGTGAGGGCTGGAAGAGGAAGCTGCATGGGAAGCTTCTCCAGCACTTTCAGCAGTAGCAGGAGCAGCAGTAGCACTACCGGCAGTGCCAGCAGCAGCAGCAGCGGCAGCAGCAGCAGCAGCTGGCGTTTCTGCGGAGTTAGGTGCTTCGTCCCTTTTAGGCTCTCCGGTTGAGGCTTTCCCGCGCCGTTTCTCGTCGTCAGGATCAGCTGTGTCCGGCATTCGTGCTGCGTCCTTCAGTAGGGCCTTTCCCCGAAACAACATGTAGCCTGGTGGCGTAGGAGGGGGATATAGCAGAGGGAAACAGTACGATAAAAGGGCGGGGGAGGTACATGCCTCCCAGTACGATAAACAGCACGTACCTCCCAGCACGTACCTCCCAGCACGTACCTCCCAGCACGTGGGGGGAGTAGAAGTGGGGGGGAAAGCAACAGAAGGGAGGGAGGGAGGGAGGGACTGGGGGAGGGGAGGCCTGGCACGTACCTCCCAGCACTAGGTTGAGTGCGAGAAGAAACCCAAAGGCGCCTCGCATGCGATAGAGAAAAGGAGGGCGAGGAGCCGCCACTGACGACCCGTGGGGGATCCCTGAAGACCCAGGGGGAAGGCCGGCTGGTGGCGCTGCAGGGAAGTTGAAGAGGGACAACAGGCCCCGAGGAGCGGACTGTGGGGGGGGCTGCTGGGGGAGTCCGCCTGGAGCAGCAGGGGGAGAGTAGAAGAGGAGGGGAGAAAGAGGGGAGTAAAGGGAGAGGAGTAAAGGGAGAGGAGTAAAGGGAGAGGAGTAAAGGGAGGTGTTGTGGAATCAGGGACAGAAGGCTGCGAGGAGCGGACTGTGGGGGGGGGCTGCTTGGGGAGTCCGCCTGGAGCAGCGGAGAGAGGAATCGGAAGGAGGGGGAGACGGGAAAAAGAGGGGTTTAAATGATGATAGGGCAAGAGGGGAGAGGAGCGACGATGAGGGGGAGAGGAGCGACGATGAGGGGGAGAGGGGATAGGGCAAGAGGGGGAGAGGAGCGGACAACGACGATCCGTGGGGGGTTCCAGCAGGCCAGGGGGGAGGAGGCCGGACAAACAGTTAAGTTGGTTTTGAGAATTCTCAAGAACCAACTCACGCTTCTAGTTGTAGGCGAACAGCTTCAGCTTGCCGCCCTGCGAATCTGCCATCGCAAGCCAACTAACCCCTCCTCACCCCTCCTCACCTTATTCGACCCTACTCGCCTACTCTGCGCCTCACCTCCTGCCGCTTCTCGTGACTTCTTCGGCCGTCGCGTGAACAGCTTCAGCCGGCCAGACGTGCTGCCGCCCTGTGGATCGGCCATCGCCGGCCGACTAACCTGCCGGCTAACTTGCCAAGTTCTCCTAGAGCGACTAACTTCCAAGTAACCGGCCGACTAACTTGCCGAGGTCTCCTAGATCCACTGGAAGCGTATTCTACAGGAAAGGTCCCGAGCCACCCTTCGCTTCTGCTCCTGTTTCTCGCGAGCTGACCCCTGGGCGTGTTTTGAGTCGACTCAAAATACACCTAGATCCACTCAAAGCGTATTCTACAGGGAAGGTCCCGACTCCCGAGCCACCCTCGTCTCCGCTCCTGTTTCTCGCCAGCTGACCTCCGAGTCTTCCAGATTCAGCGGTAAAGCCGCTCCCACATGTGGTCTACCTTTGAGGCGCCCTAAAAAATACTCTTCCAGATCAGCGGTGTAAGCCACTTTCAAAACAGGCTCTACCACATGCGGTGCGGCCTACTCAGGTAACTCGGTGACGCGGGCAGTACACCACGGAAGAGCGTACAGGGAGGATCTAGCGAGGATAAGATTCTTCGTCGATAAGAGCAACTTCGTCGATGGAGACAAGCTGACCAGGCGAATTATCTAGGCACCGCGCCTGGGATGTGTTCGAAGCACCAGGGAGCCAACCCAGATCCGCGATGCAGGCGGACTCGCTACGAACAGACATGTAGGTTCTAGAAGCACACTGAAGACAGATTTGCTCCATCCAGCAATGCTAGTATTTCGCCTTCAACACCACATACACCCACAGAATGGAATGCAAAGAGGTACCTTGTGCTTCAACTACAACTACACCGGTGGTTCATTCATGGGCAGCGTATATCTGTTTGATGAACACAAGTCTGCACTATACTAGTGAAACTGCTTTTGTCAGAGTAAATAACGAACAAGTGCAAGACACGCAAGCAGCAGAGAACCAAGTTGGAAGAAGCAAGGGAGGACAGGACAGATAGCGCTTGTTTTGTTGCAAAACCCCTCATGCTACAGGTTCAAGACTACAGGAAGGTACGCACGGCACGATAGGAAGGAAGGCAGTGCAACACTAGATGCCCTCAGGTGCCCTCTTTAGGAACGCAGCGCCAGCAATCGCTTACGCTTGCCCCGCAGCCAGCGGCCACCTCCGCAGCGAAATCTGACACCTTCTTCTCAATCCCCTCTCCCAGAGTGAACCTCTCGAACCGTCTCACACGGATATTCTCCCCAGCGCCGCCACAAACCTCCTTCACCACCTCCTTCACAGTCACCTTGTCGTTCTTGATAAATGGCTGTTCGAGCAGCGCCAGCTCCGAGACGCGCTTCGCCAGCCGCCCGTCCACAACCTTCCCCCTCACCGCCTCGGGCTTGGAAGCCAGATCCTCCTTCCCCATTTCGATCTCCCCGCTCCTTAGCAAGCCAGGCGGGGTCAACATCCTCCTCACTCACAACCTGCACCCCCGGGCACGCCACGACCTGCATCGCCAGGTCGTCCACCAGCTCCCGGAACTTCTCCCCCGCGGGCGACGAAGTCTGTCTCGCAGTTGATCTCGATCAGCGCGCCGATGCGCCCCGTCGTGGATGTAGCTCCCCACAATGCCTTCTGCTGCGATGCGCGACGCCTTCTTGTCCGCGCTGGCCAGGCCCTTCTTGCGGAGCAGCTCCCGGGCCGAGTCAACGTCTCCCCCGGTGGACTCCCAGGGCTTTCTTGCAGTCCATCATGCCAGCGCCGGTCGCGTCCCTGAGCTGCTTCACAGCCGCCATCGACACCGCGACCTTGGGCTTATCGGCTGCAGGCTCGGGAGCAGCTTCGGCCGGAGCAGCAGCGACAGCAGGGGCGGCGGGCGCCTGAACCTGGCTTGCTGCCGCGACCTCCGCAGCAAAATCAGCGGATTTCTTCTCGATCCCCTCCCCGAGGTTAAACCTAATGAAGCGGCGAATGCGGATGTTCTCCCCCAGAGAAGCAATGGCCTGCTTGACAACATCCTTCACCAGCACCTTGTCATTCTTAATATACGGCTGCTCTAGCAGGCCAGCTCATTCAGGCGCTTGGCCATCCGCCCATCCACAATCTTCCCCCGCACCGCCTCGGGCTTGCTCGCCAGATCCTCCTTCCCAGCTCCACCTCCCTCTCCTTGGCCACCTGCTCGGCCGGCACATCCTCCACAGACACCACCTCCACCTGGGACACGCCGCCACCTGCATACCCAAATCCTCCACCAGCTCCTGGAAAGCGCTCCCCCGGGCGACAAAGTCCGTCTCGCAGTTGACTTCAATGAGCACGCCGATGCGGTCCGAGTGCACGTAGCTGCTCACGAGCCCCTCGGATGCGATGCGCGACGCCTTCTTGTCGGCGCTGGCCAGCCCCTTCTTGCGGAGGATCTCGCGGGCAGTGTCGAGGTCGCCGTTGGCGTCGGTAAGGGCCTTCTTGCATGCCATCATGCCCGCACCGGTCTCCTCCCTCAGCTGCTTAACCACTGCGGCAGAGATGCCTGCATTGAGAGGGGACGGGATATAAGGCAAGGATGGTAAGGACCACGAAACCCCATGCCCAGTCAATCTGAAGATGGCGAGGGTTGCGCAAAGGTGGTCCATCCATGGGCATACGAGAGAAAAGAGAAGGGAAGACAACAATATGATGACAATAGGTAGGAAGGAATTGTGTGCATTAGTGCACTGTACAATGTACACCAGGGCCTGTCAGGGAGGAGAGGCAGGTGGCTGATTTGGGGGGTACAGGTCCGCTGGTTGTGGTGGTGGTGGCGGGGAGGGGAGGTGGGTGGGGGTGGGGGGGTGTTAGTGTGGGGGGAGAGGGCTATGTGGGAAATGACAGAGTAAGAGTTTGGGCTGTTTGGGGTAACTAGCTGAGGGTATGTGCACCTGGTTGGGGGTGTCTGGCGGCTGGTTGAGGGGGAGGGCGACTGGTAAGGGGCTATGGGCGGCTGATTGAGGGGGTATGGGCGGCTGATTAGGGGGGGTATGGGCGGCTGGTTAGGGGGGGTATGGGCGGCTGATTAGGGGGGTATGGGCGGCTGGTTAGGGGGGTATGGGCGGCTGATTAGGGGGGTATGGGCGGCTGTTTAGGGGGGGGTATGGGCGGCTGGTGGGGGGAAAAGGACGGCAGGGTTCTTGGAAGCTATCAATGCCTTGAATCGATCGCAGGAGGTGGGAATATGGGACATAGGAGGCTGAGAAGGAGAGGCACGAGAGAAAGGCTGGTAGGAGATGCGGGTCAAGGGCATGGGAGGGAATTCGGCATGCAGCACAAGGGAGGAGACGGGCTGAGATGGATGCAAGAGAGATCCGATGCATTGTAGGAAAATAAAAAAAAAGTTGTTGCATTACCAGGGTACAAGGTTACACAACAGGGTTTAACAGCAGGCAGGAAGCCTTCAACACAGAACCTAAAAAGCATCCCTCCATCTCTAAGCCATTGCTTCCTGTGTCCTAAACCCCCGCCACTACCCAAACGCACGTAGCTCAACGCTCCCAGCAAACAGCCAAACCCCTCCCCTATCCTCCCCTTCCCCCCACCCCCCTCCCTCCCACTTCTAAGCTACTCACTGCTACCTGCTGCAGGGGTGGCGGCAGGAGCAGGAGCAGCCTCAGGAGCAGGAGCAGCCTCAGGAGCAGGGGCAGCCTCAGCGACAACCTCAGCTGAAACAGCAGCTTCGGCAACAACAGGCTCGGCAGCAGCAGGCTCGGCAACAGCAGCTTCGGCAGCAACAGGCTCGGCCTCAGCAGGTGCTGGAGCTGCTTCATCCTCTACCTTCTCCTCTGCCTTCTCCGCCTCCTCCTCTTCTGCTGCTTCCACTGCCGCCTCTGCCGTCACTGCCGCCACTGCCTCCACTTCCTCCACTGCCTCCACTGTCTCCTTCTTCTCTACCACCAGGAGCTCCTCCTCGGCCTCAGCAGCAGCAGCGGCGGAGCGGCGGGGGGCCTCAGTGACGAGGTTGGCGCGGCGGAAAGCCGCCTCGAAGGGGTTGAGCGCGCGGAGATCCTCGTCCTGGGGGCTGGTCTCGTTGAAGAGAGTCACCTGAAAGGGGGAGGGGAGGGGACCATCCGAGGAAGGGATGTGAGAGGATGAAGAGGAGAGAACCTAAGGGCCAGGTGGGCCCTCAAAGGGGTTGAGCGCGCGGAGATCCTCGTCCTGGGGGCTGATCACCTGGGGGAGGACAGGGGGATAATGCGGGGATGCGGGGATAAGGGGGGAGACGGGAGGGAGGGCGAGGGCATCGGAGGTATTGCAAATGAAGAGCAGATGCAAGAGGAAGCGCCTGTTGGGGGGGTTGACTCAAACAGGGGCGTGAAGAAGTCGTGATTCGGGCGTGCTTAGGGCGTGAATGAGGCGCAACTTGGGAGTGATCAGGCCACGTAACTCTTGACACTTCACTAGGGCGTGTTATGTTCGTAAACCCCCCGAAAAATGAACGGTTGAAAATGGCTACGAGACACAGACACACAACAGGGATACGGCGGAAGTAGCAAATAAAAACTTACATCGACCTCTTCCTTCATCGTGAGGCTAATGCGGTTCTTCTGCACACAGCAGACAATGCACATGTAAATGCCCCACAGAGAGAAATAAGGTCAGGAATCTCCTTCACTGTTTACGCTTCATTAATAAATCTGCACATTGGTCAAAACACAGCTCCAAAGAGCGATCAAGTGCTACATTCAACTATTAAAACTTTTGTGTCATGCATAGTATTAAAGCTCGAAATTGAAGAAAAACGGTCGACAACCTCCAAAAGAAGGCATGTGACATGTGACTTCACTTCCCTTCCACCACCAAAGCATGAATCGACTTGAAAAACTCACCTCGACCTTGGCGATGGTAACCTCGAGCTCCTGACCCACCGACACCAGCGACTCTACTGGCACCATGTCGCCTGGAACGGGGGGGGGGGGGGGGGGAGAGGAGAGGAAGGGGGGGATAGGAGGGGAAGTGGGGGGAGGGAGGAGAGGAGGAAAAGGACGGGGAAAGGGACGGGGATGATGACGAAAGCGAGCATTGGAAAGACACTAGATATTAATTGCAATTCAACCCATGGCATTGACTTTCGAAAGATAACTACACGCATGTACGGGATACGTGAGACAGATCCACAGGAGCTTACCACCGGCGGTGATCTCAGACGCGTGGAGGAGCCCCTCCACCTTCCCTTCGAGCTCCACGAAGCAGCCGTACGAGGTCAGGTTCTTGACCACGCCCTTAACCTTCTGCCCCTTCTTGAAGTTATGGGTCGGCTTCTGATCCTCCCGCTGCTGCCTGCGCCCCCGCCCAGCCACCTTCCGCTCGCGCGCATCCCCCTCC